TGCTGTCCGCTGAGACCTGGGGGCCCCCAGGCTTTTGTTGCTCCAGATGCTGGTGGCCCCCCTCATCCCATCCCCTGCCATGAGCTGGTGGTCCCCCAAGAGCGCCCCACAATCACACCGGCTGGAGTCTGATCGCTGCCACTGGGCCCCCGGTGGACTGGAACACCTGCCTGACGCTCACAGCGGACCCCACGCAGTCCGGGGCCCTGCCACGCAGGGGGTGAGGACCCAGCTGCAGGGAGCTCAGGCGCCGGCTCTGAGGACCCCAGAGGAGCCACCTCAGGCCACAGGGTTGCCTGGTGAGTGCAGCCCCAGCCCTTGGCCAGGCCTCCCCCCCGACTGCCTGCACCCCACTCGGCCTGCCCTCCCCAGCCTGCCCCCACCGCCTGCGCCCTACCTTCTCCCCCCACCTGCCCACTCTGGCCTGCCCCACCTTGGCCTGCCCCCTCCAGCCTGCCACCCCCCGGGCCTGCCCTCCCCCGGCCTGCACCAGGCCCTGTGCTGTGCCGGAGCCCAGTTCACTCTGGCTGGATCCCATCTGGCTCTGGAGGACGGCCTCAGGCCAATGGCCGCCATGCTGGCCCAGGACCCCAGCACCCCCTCTGCTGGACCGTGAGGACCCACCGTCCCCCACCAGGCACAGATGGGAAACTCACCCCCTGAATGCCCTTGGGGCTGCCCAGAAAGCCTGGTGACCCCGAGTTCCATGGGAAAGTCACTGCTGGCAGGAGAGTGGTCCAGGCCAGAGGGGACACCCCCACATGGGGCGAGATTGACATGGAAACAGCCCCCACCCCGGCCCTAGGCCCCCTGAGGAAACCAGAGCCCCTGCTGGGTCCTTCCACGGGCAGCGGAGACCAGCTCTGGTCCCGCCGAGGGGCCCCGTGGAGCTGGAGGAGCCCCAGGTGCCGCCCCCAGGGCGCCAGAGGCTCAGCCAGGATCCAGCGCTGGTCACTGGCCGCCCACGCCGCTGAGGGCTGAAGCCCTGGTCTTGGGGTGACCCCAATGGGGCCTGGGGGCAGGGACGGGGATGGGGCTGCACCCCGGGGCGGGCAGGCACAGCTGGAGCCTGAAGCCGAGGCCAGGTGCCCAGCGGCCATCTGGACACAGCAGGGGTCACAGGCGCCCCACCATTTGTCTCTGCCGTGGGCGCCCCAGCCCTTCACACCTCCTGACTGTCCAGGTGTCACTTCACACCCGAAGCAGCAAATGGGCCTCCGGGTCTCGTCACCTCCAGCCTGGGCTGGGGCGGGGGCGGGGCAGAGGCAGGAGCTCCCCATCACAGGGGCGAAGCTGACCCTCTTGGGAAAGGACCGAGAGTGGGGTTGGGGGGCCCCCAGCCCTGCATGAGGAGCAGCCTCGGGTCAGCCCTGGGAGCCGCCCGTCCTCCGCCTCCACCTGGAGCCACCCCGGGGCCTGCACTTGTCCGCAGCCCCTCAGATTCCTGCCCCTTCGCCACGGCAACCCGCGCTGTGCTCCGGGAGCACCTCAGGCAGCTCCCCCACCGCCGCCCCCCCCCCGGGAGCACCCCCACACCCGCCCCACCGGGAGCACCTCAGCCCGGCCGGCTCCAGGACCCGGTCTGGGCGGCCGAGCCCCAGTCTGCACCCGGCCGCCCTCTCCAGGGGCAGGGCCCTGGGGTGCGGGGGGCGGCCTGGTCCTGGGGCCCGGCCCCCCTCCCAGCCCCGCCCCGCCCCGCCGGCTCAGCCAGACCCCCGGCCGGGCGTCCAGCCTCATCCCGGACGGGCCGTCCTCCCCCCGGGGTGGCCCCCGCGGTCGGGCTGTTGTCGGGCGAGCCTGCGGCCCGGGGTCCTGTGCTGTGACCTCGGCCAGACGCCCCCAGGCCGCCCCGGGCGCCTCCCCCAACGCGGCCGGCCAGGCCTCCGTGTGGGCAGCGCCCGCCTCCCGCCAGCCCGGCCTCTGCGCTGCCCGCCGGGGCGTCCCTCTGCGGGGCGACCCGTCCCGGCTGGACCCGGGCTTGAGCCGCCTGCGCGCCCGCGGGGGGCCCCGGCTGGTTCCGCGGCTGCGCTGCCGGGCGCCCCCCACCCCCACCCCCCGCGGGCGCGGCGGCCCCCACGGCCCAGGCCCCGGGGAGAGGAGGAGGCCCGGGGCGCCTGGACCCGACGGCGGGGCCCGGGGAGCAGGCCCAGGCCGGGGGCTGCGCGGGGCGCCGCGGCGGGGGCGGGGCCGGGGCGGCCTCTGCGCCCCGAGTGCGGGCGGGACGCCCCCGCGCGGCCCAAGAGCGCCCCCGCGCGGCCGCCGCCAGCCCGAGGGGGGCCGCTCCCCGCCCGCTGCGCCCCCAGCCGGGGCGGCCGGTGCAGACCCGGGGGCGGGGGCCCCCGAGCGCGGGCTCGGCCCCCTCAGAGCTGCGCCTCCGTCTGTGCTTCTGCCCCCCCAGACCGCGGGACCCGCCGGGAGGACCCCGGGCACGTGGGCGCGGCCCTCGGGCTTCTGCGCGGCCAGGCCCGCGTGGCGGCTCCCCGGCCGCACCCCCCCCCCGCACCCCGGCTCCCGGCCAGCGGGGGCGTCGGCGGGCGCCGGGCCGGAGGGGCTCACCTCTCGGCTGGGCTCGGCGGCCTCCGCAGCCCGCGGCCAGGGCGGGGTCTCCCCGCCGCCCCCCAGGTCACCCCGCCCGGCCGGCGCCCCTGCAGCCCCGCGGGGTCAGCTCGCCCCGGAGGGCAGCGGCAGGGGCGAGCACGACACCCCGGCCGCTCCCGGCATCTTTACCTCACACCGACCCACGACGAGCAAACGCGCCCTCGCTGGGGCGCAGTGGGGTGTCAGGGGCGCCCGGACCCGGCCGAGGCTCCCGCGGGACGTGCAGGCCGGGCCTGTTCCCGGACACGCCCCGAGGGCCGAGCCCCAGGACCGCGGCAGGACGGCCCGTCCGAGGGGGTGTGCGTGTGCGCGTGCTGCGTGCCTGCACCTGTGTGCACACGCGTGTGTACACGCGCACACGACAGGGAGAGGGAATTGTGGCAAAACACCAGCAGGGACGAGCGGTGGGCAGACACTTCCGAAGCCCGTCCTTGCACCCCGGGGCTCTCCTCTGACTTGGGGGCAGCAGCACAGTCACCATGACAGTGACAGCCGGGACCCCGGGGTGAGGAGGCAGGGTCCCGGGGACGGCGCGGACGGCAGGAAGCCTGCCCTGGGCTGGAGGCCATGGCCACGGGTGGCAGCCCAGGCCCAGCACTAGCGTCCAGGCGGCCCTCGGGGTCCCTGGGGGGCTGTGGGGAGCAGCTGGCTCCCCACCCTGGCTGACCCAGCGGGAGACTGGGGAGGGTGGCGCCAGCCAAGGAGGATGGCTCTGCTCGGGGCGGTCACGGCAACCAGCTTCCTGTGCCCACGAGACCAAGGCTGGGCACCCGCCAAGCGCAGCTGGGCCTGGGGTGGGGGGCGGTAGGCCAGGCCCATCAAGAGCGGCTGCAGCACAGCGACCTTCGGGGAGCCCCAATCCGCGTCCCGCACTGGGGCCCCGGCCACCTCCAGACCAGAAGCTCCTTCACGGAGGAGGCTGGGCTGGCCCTCGGGGTGGAGGGCGATGGAGAGGGTGAGGTCGGCCTGAGGAGTCAGTGGGCTTGGGGCGCGGGGCCCTTGGGTTCCCGCTGGGAAAGGCCTCCCCAGAGCTCCCGTTTCAGCGGCTTCGGCGAGTCTCTCCACGAGGCGGAGACGTTGGTGACACTTCAGCGCAGGTTTACTCGGAAGAGGGACGGGAGAGTAAAGGACACCTGCACCGACGCCAGCGGGCGGGACGAGCTGCCCCGGAGGGACAGGTTGCCGGGAGGCCTTGAGGGGAGCGGCCTCCGCTGCGGGGGTCAGGGGGAGAAGCCCGGCAGGTGCAGGTCGCGGGCAGGCAGGAGGCGGCTGCCCTGCAGGAGCGGGCGGGTGACGAGCGGCACCTGCACGGGCACAGGCGGGCAGAGGGACGGCTGCCCCGGCCAGGGCGGAGACTGTCCTGAGAGCCCTCTGTTTGCGGGGTCACCCCGGTGAGCCTGGGTTAGCTGCTGACTTTGGACAACGCGGCAGACCCTGAAAGGGCCCGAGAGCCCACCGCGGGCTCCATCTCCGGGTCCTTCCCTTGGGTGCGCCCCCGGGTACCCGCTTGGGTGTTGAGCTTCGTGATCCCGGCATCTGCGCCTGAGGATCGGTGTCCACAGCTGTCAGTGGCCGCGGTGACCCCTCCAACCCCACCTCCTCGTGAGCCGGGTTTCTGGTCTTGTGGCACCTCCTTTCCAGTTTTTTCTATTCCTGTCTCCATCATTGCCCGCCTGACCATATCTGGCCCAAAATCTTTTGGGGAGTTGAAGGGGGAGGTCCGTTTTCTGTAGCTGCTTCTTGCTGGAGGGGGACGCGGAGCTGGCCCCACCTGAACGGTCCCTTCTGCCCCGAAGCCTCAGGCCATACGGCTTCCTGGGGCACTGAGGGGCTGTCACACCTGTGTGCCCCTGACTGTGGCTCCGGGTGTCGCTCCTACCAGAGGCCTCCCTGGGGCGCCGCTCCCAACACCCCAGCTGACCACGCGGCTACAGGACATGAGACCCCGGGGGCCTTGCCAAGATGGATGGTCCGAGGGGCAGGGGTCCCGCGGGAAGCTGGGGTGGCCGCAGGTGGCGTCCACTGCGGAGGCTGGACTCATGCTGAGCTCGACCCTCCACGCCGATACCCGTTGGCACCCGAAGCCCCCGGCCCTGGGCAGGCTCATGGCCACAGATGTGCTGGGTGCCCAGGTGCCCGCCCGGCAGGAGGGAACATCCCCCCACTGGCCCCGCAGGGACGTCCTGCAGGCGGCGCCCACCCTTGCATGAGGTCCCATGGTGGGGGCTCCAGGGCGCGAGAGTGGGAGGGCGCGGCTGCCTCCTGGGTGCAGACTGCAGCCTGCACCCGGCTGGCCTGACCCCACGAGGGCCCCCAACACCCTGCCTGGCCCCCACAGCTCAGGCGCACCCCTGCAGGCGCCCACTGCAGGCCAGGGAGCCCATGTCCGGCCCAGGGTCAGGCCGCCGCGGGCCCGGGAGGAACTGACGGGGCGGGGCAAAGTGGCCTCTGATCGGGCGGCCAGGAGGGGCGCTGCCCTGGCGTGGACCTTGTGGACCTGTGTCCCAGGCACCTCCGCCGTGAAGGCGGTGCTTCCCGACAGCCCAGTCCGCTGACTGCAGGCTGAGCCACTGGCGCCGGCGCCTCACAGGAGGCCAAAGGGGACTGTCCCTGCTGCCCTTGGGGTGGGGCTGCCGCCCGCAGGGGGCAGGTGGGCTGTGGACCAGGGGGCATCCGGGACCTCGTGCTGAGGTCTCCCATCTCCCGGGGAAGGCCACAGCAAGCGGGTCACCCGCCCGCAAGGCTGCAGAAGCGGGTCGGGCGGGTGGGGGACCGTGGCCCAGAGGTGGGCGAGGCAGCACGGAGGTGTGACCGCGGGCACCCACAGCAGGAGGCACGCCCAAGTATCCGGGGAGGCAGGGGCCCCTGTGCAGACCCCCCAGCGGACCCTGACTGTGGACGGGGGTCACGTGGCAAAGACGAAGGCGCCCCGGGGCAGAAGCACCAGTTCCGAGTCTTCCCAGCCAGCCAGGCTGGTCAGCAGAAGGTGCCGAGTTGGCAAAGAGGTGGACGGAATGTCTGTCGCCACACAGAGCTGCCCTCACGGAACGCACAGTCCCCAAACCAAGCCCGCGGCCCTGGTGTGGGCAGGGATGTGCACCGTTGGGCCCGGCCTGGCCACACGCGGTCCTCACACCCGCTCCCCTCACACGCCGCCGCCAGAACAGAAGCCAGGCCACCCGAGCCTGCCGGGAGCGGACGTCTGCGGAGGCCCGCCGGGGAGCACGGGCCTCATTCTCGCAGCAGGCTGCTGCTGGAGCGCAGCGGTCATTTCTGGGTCACACCGGGGCAAGAGAGTGTTCCCTGCCATGGACAACACGGACAACACGCTCTGGGGAAAGGAGACCCAAACGGCCAAGTCACCTGGTTCCCGGGACAACCCAGCCCCGGCAGGTCGGGTCCGGCTCGCACCCTGGTCAAGCAGAGCGGCGCCCCCCCGGCCTGTGGCACCCAGCTGCCTGCCACCAGGTCCCCCGCTGGGCTCCTGACAGAACCAAAGGGCCCCGAGGTGTTTTCATGAGGCCACGTCACTCGTGGGCCTACGGGCTAAATGCATCAGCATCTGCTGCTTCTCACTGAAAGCCCAGATCTTCGACAGGGCCGCGCGGGTGAGGGGGACAGTTTCGTCCCACTTGTTCTTCTCGGGGCTGGTGTAGGTCAGCAGGTTCTCGGTGCACTGCAGGACCGACCTCCAGAGCCTGTCGGAAGAGAAAAGGGAATTTATTGGCTTCATTAGAAACGCAGCCACACGCTGAATGTGCGCTCAGCAGCGCGCCAGCTCCGCCTCAGGCGACCAGGACCGCGACACCCGAGGCAGGACGGCGCACAGGCCGCGGGAGTCGCTGGCCCAGGGTCACGGCCCAGGACCGTGGGGCTCCCCGGCCCGGCGCCCTGTCACTCGCGGCTGCGACGTTCTGACGGAGGGGCCAGATTTCAGAGGAAGGCGTCGCGCCTGGTCCTGGGGGGCACCCCGTCTGCTCTCGCCTCTGCCCTCGGCAGCCCGGCTCCGACGGGGCCCGCTGCCACGGCCGTCGTTCTGTGGGACAGCGCCAGGCCGGGCCGGGCCCCAGAACGAGGGGAGCGGCCACGGCACCTTGGCACCTCTCCCCAAGCCTCCTGAGGGGTCTCTTCTCCACCTGTAATTTTGAAAACTTACCAACTTACAAGTTAAAAGAACGACCCCTGAGGGGCCCAGATCTTCCAGGGGCGGCTCTTGGTCTGGGGCGTGGCCCCCAGAGGGCACCATTCCTGTCACAGCTGCAGGCCCCAGCCCCAGCCCCAGCCGCCCCGCAGGCCGCCCCCACGCGCTGGGCTGGAGCCTGCCTGGTCGCACGCCCTCGCCGGGCTGTGTCTCCAGCGCTCGGGCTCGCGACAGGGACCCTGCAGCCTGCACCGGCCGTCCCGCTGAGGGCCCCTGGCGCGACTTGGCCCCGCGCCCGCCCCGCCCTCTCCCTCACGTGGGCCGTGCGCGCCCCAGCCGGAGCACAGGCCCAGCACACAGGCCGGGTTCTGAGCCCAGCTGCGGCCCGACGGGGCCACATGCCCAGTGCTGGCCCCGCGAGGGCTGCGCCGTGCTCAGGGAAGGAGCGACTCGCTGGGCTTGTCACCGAGTGAAGCCGCTCCCGGGGGCAAGACCCTCACGAAACACCAGCGGGGGCCGCATGGCCCGACACTCACCTCAGGTACTGCTGGTACTCGCCGCGGCTCTTCCCCGAGACCGAGTGGACACTCACTGCCTCCAGGGCCACCAGCACCAGCAGCAGGGAGAGCGCAGGACTCAGGAGCTGCAGGCTGTGGGGGCGGGGGGGCGCTCGGCACTCGGGCTGGCGCCCCACAGCCTCCTGCCATCCTACCCCCAAGCCTCTCCTGGGAGGCTGTGCCCAGAGAGGGCGCCGGCCCCGTCTTGGAGACCCCAGGAGCCCCTCAGAGCTCTGCGGCAGAGGAAGTGGGAGCTGCACCCCAAAGCCGGGACGAGTCCCTGCTCACTTCGGGACACGCCGAGTCAGCCGCTGTCACCCCAAAGGGCAAAGGCTCTGGCAGAGGTGGAGCCCGGCCTGTCCAACCTCTCGGGGCTCTGGCGTGCTGGGCACCCCAAGCCTGCCCCTCCAAACCCCCAACCCACCCTCCCCCTGTGTCCACTGGGACACCCTAAGTCCCCCCGCCCTCCCCCTGCGCCCAACAGGCACCCCCTACCCCTGCACCCACCTCCGAGTCATGCGCAGGCAGTTGAGCCTCTGCCGGGAGCGCAGGGCCCGTTGCGCCCACTGCTGCAGCCGCTGCTCCGCGGAGGCCGCCACCTGCTGGGCCAGGTGCGCCAGGTGGGCCAGGACGCGGCGGAGCAGGGCCAGCACCTCCAGCACCGGCCGGGGGCAGAAGAGGGTGGGCACGGGCGTGCCGCAGAGCGCCTCGAGCACCGGAGCCCACCTGGGAGAGACGCGGCCTGAGTGCCTCCATGCGGCCTGGACAGCGGCCCGGCTGCGTGGGGGGCCCCGGGAAGGGGCTCTGCTGCCCGGGTGAGACCGCGTGTGCCCAGCCGGGGCGCCCAGAACTCACCCCCCGGCGGGGACAGCGCCTACGTCCGGGCTGAACACCCAGCGCACCCCGGGCCAGGGTGGGAGCGCAGCCCGGACTTTCAGGATCAAGGAGCAGCAGGCGTCGGCCTCGGGGCTGCCTTCCAGCCTAGGGAGAGCAAGCAGGGCTCGTGGCGGGCGGCCAGCAGACGCCAGGGCCCCGCCCCTCCCCGGCTGCACCCCGGTTCTCGCAGCCACTCAGTGTCTCCAAGAGGCACTTCCCTCCCCCCTTGTCCCTGCTGCTCAGCCACCCAAGTGGCCAGGACACAAGCCTCCCCCACAGACCCCCCCATGCCCCATGGCCGTCCCCCATGTCCAGGGCAGGCCCCCCACGCCCCACCCGAGGCAGCCCCCGCAGGCCCACGACCGGCTTGGCCAGCACCAGGCCGGCCTGCCGCCGGGCAGGCAGGGCTCACCTGGCTGCTTCCCGCGCCAGGTCTGGGGGCAGCGACAGCAGGCGCCAGGCCCCCAGGCTCCGCTCGCAGCTCAGCACCTGCGGAGACGCTGCGCCATCAGCCCTGGACGAGCTAAGCGCTGCGGCGGCCGCAGCCACCTCTGCAAGACACACCTCTGCGGTCGTCACAGACCCCTCGGCGGCCAGCGCGAGAGGACGAGACCCGGGCCACCGCGGTGGCCCCTCGGCAGGCAGGGCCGTGTTGGGGGGCCGAGGGCTCCCTGGGGTGGGGGGACGCAGGAGGCCCATGCGCTGACGCTCTCCCTGCCCGCTTCTTCCTTGGCTGTTTTCGAGGAAGATCCGCCCGATTCGGTCTCCCGTGCCCAGCTTCCTCCCGCGGCTTCCGCGACTCCATGGCTCCTGCAGGGCAGGCTCCCGGACGGAGCTCTGCCTCGGCCGCTGCCAGGACCGCCACACCCCAGAAACAGCCGTGTCCCCCCAACACCTGCAGGTCCTGCCACCGCGGCCCCCGCCACGTCCGCGCCAGCGGGAGGGCCGGCGGGACAGCTCCCCGCTGTGGCCACTCTCCCCACGGGCCAGCAGCGCCCGGCGCCCGGCAGCCCTCACCCTCCGCCCGCCGGGCCGGAAGGCCGGACGCGAGAAGACGGTGCGGAACAAAGGCAGGTCCTTGCGTGAAACCCTCTGCCCAACACCCGCGGGGGCAGGAGACGCCCAACGGCCGGGGACCTGCGGCGGGGGCGATGGGAGGGCCGGACACGCCAGGACCCCTCGGGAGCCCCACCCCGTCCCGCCCGCTGCTGTCCCGGCCAGCTCCAGACAGCCGGGCCGCGCTCCCAGAGGCCAGATCTGCGCCCCCCGCGTCCCTGCAGAGGAAGCGGGGCGTCCGCCCCGGTGCCGCCCCCAAGTGTACCTGTTTTTTGAGCTGGGGGACGGGGTGGAAGCGAGCTCGGTAGCCCTCGGCGAGACCGACCAGCGCCCGCACTGCCGCGCTCTCCTGGGTCAGAGAACAGGCGCCGGTCACCGCCCGTGGCTCCCCAGGCAGCCCGGCGCCCCGCGATGGCCGCGCAGTGGCAGGATGGCCTCACACGAAGGCGACACGCGAGGACTGACCACGGGGGTCAGCCCCACGGCCACGGGTGGCCGCACCAGGGAGGAAGAGGACGCGTCCCCGCGGGGTGAGCGCCAGGGCTCAGACACGACCGTCCCCGCCACGGAGCCGACTGCGCCTGTGGCCCGCACCCCGGCGAGGAGCGGCGGCCGCGCAGAGGCCGCAGGGAAGCCCGTGGAGCCGAGGGCCGCCGCCCGGACACGCGCCCAGGGAGACACACACACGGCCGAACGACCCGGGATTCTCAACGGCACAGAACAAAACCCAAGACAGCGGAGCCGCGGCGCCCCCCCCAGGCCGGCGTGGAGGCCGCGGCTGGCTGCAGGGTGGGGGGCGGGGGGACGGGCCGAGCAGCTGCGGGAGCGGGACAGACGGGACGGAGGGCCGGGGGCGTGAGAGGCCGGGGAGGCAGAGGAGGGGGATGCTGGGCGGGGACAGGCACCCCTGGGGTCCTGGGGTTTGGTGCTTGTCTGGGATCTGCGCCTTGTTCCTCCCCACCCCTCGGCCGCCTGCGGCGACAGCGCTGGGGAGCCGGCGGGGGGCGCGGGCCTCGCACGAGAGGAGCCAGGCGGGGAGCGCGCGTCCTGCCCTAGAGACGGGCCCTCCGGGAGGTCTGTAGGGCGAGCTGGGCCCGGCTCGGCCCTGGGGCATAGAGCCCGGCCAGACCAAGAGCTGCTCGTGGGAGGGCAAAGCGCGTGGTGAGGACGGCCGAGGCGCGGCCACGGGGACGGGCTCGAGAGGCTGGAGAGGAAGGCTGGGCGCGGGCGGGACCCGGGACCCAGCGGGCAGGCCCGTCCACACCGTCCCCAGAGCCCGTGCTCCAAGGCCAGGGACGGGCAGGACGAGCCCTTGCTCGGTGCCGCCTGGGGACACGCCGACGCCCCCCGACACCGGCGCCCGAGCGCAAGGCCACGGCCCTCGGGAAATGGCCACATCCGAGAAAACCAGAGCCCGAGGGAGGCCGGTCCTGAAGAGGCCCTCACCCCTCTCGGCGTGGGGCAGGGGGCTGCCGGGGCGCCTGAGAACGCCCCTCCCATGTGGGCTCTTCCCCCAATCTCACCTCAGCCGCCCAGGCGCTCTGGCCGAGGGTCAGCACGACTCCTCCAGCCTGGACGGCGCAGAAGACCGAGTCAGCAGCTTTAGCAAACGTCCACCACCGCCAGGAGGCACTTGCCCGACCCGGCCAGCCCCGCTCACCCGGGGGAAGGGGGGGTGTCGTGCGGCCACCGGCGCCCACCCAGGGGCCCGGCCCGGCCAGGCCGCAGGCCCAGCTCACACCCGCAGCGCCAGAGGCCGGCTCGGGCGTCCACTCCAGGCGGGACCCGTCCGCACCCGTGCTCCCGGCCTCACCTGGGCAGCAGCAGCCTCGGCCCCGCCCGCGAGGCGCAGCAGCAGCGCCAGGGCAAAGGCCAGCAGCAGCTCGGCGGCAGCGACCGGGAACTCGCGGACGCAGACCTCCCCGTGGCTCAGGCGGTCCCGGAGGCGCGGGCCCTCACGGTGGCTCAGGAAGTCCCACAGGAACTCCTGCGGAGGAGGGGGTCTGCGGGGCCAGCAGCCACGCCCCTCACCTCCCCGCAGGCCGTCCTGGGGTGTCCCTCCCGTCCCTCGCCCCCCGACCCACCACAGGCCATCATGGGGCGTCCCTCCTGTGCCCTGTCCCCCGCGGGCCATCGTGGGGCGTCCTTCCCACCCCTTGCCCCCCCCAGCTATCCTGGGGCGTCCCTCCCGTCCCCTGCACCCCCTGCCCCTCCACAGGCCATCCTGGGGTGCCCTTCCTGCACACCCCCTCCACCCCCCATAGGCCGTCCTGGGGCAGCCCTCCAAGCCCCTGCCCATCCCTCCCACCCCCACCCCCACCCCAGAGAGGCTCTGGGCACAGAAGCCCCAGCCAGCCGGCCCGCAGGTGCACGGATGCGGACCTGGGGTTCCGAGCGCAAAGAGTCAGGCACCCGAGGGCAAGAGACACCCAGAGAGCCAGGGTGAACAGGGTGATTGGGGACCCCAGGGCGGGGCTCCCAATGCAGATGCCCAGCGAGCGGGTGAGGGGAGCCCCGTCTGCAGCCACCAGAAGATCCTCACGGACGCCCAGGCAACGCCGAGGCACGCGCTGGGATGCGTCATCCCTTGCTCCCCGCAGCTGCGCCCCCGCACCCCGAGACTGCCCCCGCAGGGCCCGCCAAGCCCCAGGCCTCGGCCGCACAAGGGCAGCGCTGACAGCTATGGGGGGCCTCCACACAGGGAAAGGGGCTCACTGTGGAGGAGCCCGGCTGCACCCCAGGCACACACCGTCCAGGGAGCAGGGACGTACCATGGCGGCCTCCCCCAGCACGGCGGGCAGCCGGTTGACCTGGCCATCGCCCAGGCGCTCTGCCAGCATCTGCAACACCGGGACAGAGGCTGTGACAGGCACACCCCCCACACACACCCCCCCATACCTCCCCACACACCCCACCCCGCACACCCCCCCACACCCACCCCACAGCCCACCTCCCCCAACATCATACACACATACACTACACCCCCCACCCCACACTATACGCACACCACCCCACACACCCACACGCCCCACACCCACACCCCCGAATACACACCCCAACACACACACACACACCATACCACACACACACCTCACACACACCCCCATACCACCCCCCGAACACATACCACGCACCCCAATACCCCACACCCCCACACCACACGCATACCATACCACACACATACACCCCACACCCCCCACACAACCCCCCTGAACACACACCACATACTACACACACCCCACACCACACCATACCCCTCCACCCCACACACACCACACCCCACCCCCACATCCCCCCCACACCACGTGCACATGGAGTTTACATTAGTGGGGGACACAGAGGCCCTCAGAGTGGGATTCCCTTCAACATGGTTTCATCATGACGTCCTGAGGGTGAACTGGGAGCACCTGGGGTGCAGCTGGCACCTCCCCGCCGTCTGGCGGGTCTGTTCGGAGGTCAGGTCTGCCCCACCCCGGTGGAAGTGAGAGGGTGAGCATGTGGGTATGGGGGATGGAAGCACGTCCTGTCAGGAGGGCCCTGCCTTGACCCTGAGCCGCAGGGCTGGCTCCAGACGCCAGCGACCCCGAGCCCAAGCAGTGGCTGGAGAGGGGCGGGAGTGGACAGCTGTCGGGGCACAAACTGGCTCCGGGGTCATCCTGCTTGGCACCAGCTTCCGAGGGCCAGTGGCTGAGGTGCTGCCTGCAGTGCCGGGGCCGCACTGTGGGGCCCACACACCGGACACATGAGGCAGCCTCAACCTGCACCTGACCAGGACCCAGCCTGAGGCCTCCTGACTGCGTCTGAACACGTGCCTGTGTGTGCCTGTGTGCATGGGCCTGTGTGCCAGCGTGTGTGCACATGTGTGTAATTACACATCAGAATTGCTTCGTAAGTCACATCTTCACTCACGAGAGCTTGGGGACCCCCCTGCAAGGCGGCCCTGGCCGACTCCTGTCTCCAGGCCTGGGGGTGCCCTGGGCTCACACGGTGTCCGCGTCGACCACACTTACTCCCCAGGCTCCTACTTCGGCTTGGCTCTCCCTCGGCTGAGGGGCTGGGCCAGGGCTAGGGGCCTCGCATGGAGCCCGGGACCTGCGTCCCACCCACCGTGGCCTTGTCGGCCTGGAAGCCGAGGCGTGCGGCTGATCGCCGCTTTCCTGCTTTGGTTTGCACTTTAGAAGACTCGTTTCCTGTTTCAAGGTTGCTCCGAGCTTCCTTACCTCGTCAAAGGTGGTGTAAAGAGCTGTTGACTTCAGGAGCGGGAAGGAAAGAAAGAAAAAAAAATCAGAGCCGACTACCCGTGGGTGACGTCATGTAAAGCAGGAAGAGCTCCGGCCCACGGCCGCACGTCTGGACCTTTCTTTGGAGACAAATCCTCACCTGGAACACTCTGGAAAGCAGCTGACGACGACATGGTCACGTGACGCAGGCCAAGCCTCCAGGGCATGGCCGAAGGGCCTGCCGCCCGCGCCCCCGGCCTGTGTCACCAGCCCCCCGCCCTGCGGTTGTCCCAAGCTCTGTGCCGGGCCTCGCTCGCCGGCCAGGTCCACACTGCTGCCCAGGACCCCGCGTGCCACTGGGCCTGACACCTGCCCAGCCCAGCAAGACATGCATGCCGGCTCCACCGCGGCTCACAGGACCGCCCTGGCGGCGCCATCCGCCCTTCGTCCACCCGCTCCCTAGACCCGGCAGCCGCTGCCCCGCTCCGCACCACCCTGCAGCCTGGGGCGCCAAGCGCTCAGCTGAGGGCTGGGGGCTGCTGAGAGACCAGCTGACGCTGCGACCGTCCGCGCCACAGCCTCAGGCGCTCCTAGGGGAGCTCTGAGCCCAGGCACGGAGCCCCATGGGCCATGCCCCGGCACGACGAGCCCCCAGCAGGGCCTGGTACCTCGGCGGTCAGGAGCCTCTGGGGACAGCCATTAACTGCGGCAAAGATGCTCCGAAGCGTGGTCTCCAGCTGGGTCAGCAGCAGGATGGCACAGTCCGCGAACCTGCCGGACGCCGTCTTCAGGGGGAGCCCGGCACGCTCGCCGCGAGGCCAGGCAAAGGGTGCCGGGGCGAGGGGGGGAGCGCTGGGGATGCGACAGAGACGCCCAGCTGGGGTCTCTGTCGTGTCCCCGGTCAAGTCTCCCAGGAGCGGGCTGCAACCATTTCCTGGGGCCCTTTCCTCACGTCTAGCAGGTGCTCAGCACCAGGGGCTGCGGGGGGCCGTGACTGGAGGGACTGGGGCACCTGCGCCCGCTCCTCGGGAGCAAAGCCACACTCTCTGCTGGGCTCCGGCCCGCCACAGAGGACACGCCGCACCCCCACTGGGAACTGGAGGAACAGCCAGAGGTCAAGTCTAAAGTCAGCTGCCAACATGCCAGCAGCAGGACGAGCCCCTGAGCCGCAGCCCAGCATCTGTCCTCCAGCTATACCGGACGCCTGACGCCCAGCCCCTCGCCTCCGCGCCCATGCACCCCCACAGCAGCACGGGAGGGGGCCCGGGCAGGGCTGCCTCGGCCGCCAGCGCCTCACGCACCTGTGCGACGTGAACTTGGCGAGCGCCTCCTCCCAGTACGGCAGCATGGTCTCCGGCACGAAGGCCGACCTCCTGGCTGCGGCCTCCAGAGCGGACAGCGCCTCGGCTGTGACACCTGCGAGACGCACGCGCCTGAGAGCGGATCTCAGCAGCCAGCGGGGAGGCGGCGCGAGCACCCGGCGGCCTCGGCCTGCAGGCGCGTGACAGCTGGGCCAGCCCCGGGGGGCGAGCAGGACACAGGACAGAGAGCAGGACACAGGCCAGGCCTTGGGGGTGAGGAGGACACTGGGCCGGGCCCCGGGGGGTGAGGAGAAAGCCAGGCCGGGCCCCGGGGGTGCAGGCAGGACGGGGAAGAGATGAGGTCGAAGCCCCGTCCTCCTGGGACGCGCCCGCCAGCCCATGAGGAGGGGGCGCAGCGCCGAGCACCCAGTACACTGGCCGCGAAGAGTCAAGCACACTCAGAAGTCAGGGTGCGCCCTCGGCAGGCACGGACTGGAGGTGGCCGTCACGTGAAAATGGGCCACTCTGCCCGGTGGTGTGGCCAGCGGGGCAGCGTGCGGAAATGCCTCCATTTTGCTGTGCGCTTGAGGCTGCTCTGAAGAGGCAAAGCCCCAGCCCTGTGTGTGTATCACCGGCCGTCGCCACTTTCCACGGGGGCTGTGGCGTGGCAGCCACGCTCCGGCACAGGCCCTGGGGGACCTGCGGGGCAGGGTGGTCCTGGGGGTACTGTGGCCCTGGGGGGGTCACACTTGCAGAGTGCCGGCCGAGGCCTCATCGCCCCCGTGGCAGGCCAGGCCGTGCGAGCCCTGATGAGCTGTACTTGCCGGGGACGGCACTCAGGTCCTCCGCAAGGGTCAGCGTCCTGGGTGGCCGGGGCGCCAGGGTCCGGCGGCTCTGCTGGAGGAAGCGCCGCAGCAGCTGGCCCAGCCCCGCCATCAGCAGCAGCACCGTGGAGCAGTACCTGGGGGGTGGGTGGGCGGGGGACGGCTCGCGGCTCACTCCTGCCCTCGCTTGCCCAGCCCCTGCGCGGGAGGGAAGCCGGCCGGGGTCCCTGTGCCATTTCACCCAGCCGCCCCTGGGGAGTGGCCGCCTCCCAGTCACCCCGCGGTCAACATCCAGAGAACCCCGTCTCCCCAGAGCATCCCACCCCGCGTGGGGGGCAGGGCCTTACTTGGCAGGGACCTCTCCCGGGGCCGCGAAGCCATGCCACAGGACGTTGCGCAGGTTGAGGCCGCGGGGCGAGCCCAGGAGGACGCGCAGCACATTCATCTGCGGGGGACACGCGTGACTACCGGCCGCCAGCAGCTGCTCACCGGGGGTGGACGTGGCGCCAGGAGCTGCGGCGGCCGGGCGGGGGCCATGGACGTGCTGGGTCCAGACGACACATCATGGGGCCGAGCGGCGCGAGCCGGCACGGGGACCCAGGCGGGATGGGCCGGGGTGGGCCGGGTGCTGGAGAGCACGGGTGGGGGGAGGGGCTGTGGGCTGCGGGGGCTGCGCCGCAGGCCCCCCACCGCGGGACTCGACACTGGCCTACGGCTGGTGACACGCGGTGTCACTAATCTGATACTACTCTTCGGTGCGCTGCGCGTGCCATCTGCATAAGCTCCTGGGGGACCAGCGGCGGCGGCGGGAGCCCGTGCCACTACCGGGAGGGGGGCCACCGCAACGCACCCGGAGCTTGTGCCGGCGGTCAGCGCACCCCAAGGGGGAGACGGGCTTTCAGCCCACCAGGACGCGCCAGCGGAGACACGCTGACGCACCCACACGCTCGTGCCATGCACTCATGGCCTGAGGCTCGCCGGCAGCCTGGTGCCAGCACCGCACCCGCCAGGGCGGCCCCTTCCGCAACCTCGCGTGGCGCCAAGGTCACCTCCAGGCTCCACTGCACCCCCTGCAGGGCTGCATGCTTCCATGGACATCTTTTCACCCTAAGTCTGAACAGCTGCAAAGAGCATAATTCCCAAACATTAAAAATATCTACATTTTTGAATGAACCATCGCTGTTTAAAGAGCTAGTGACATTCTAGAATCAGCGCTGTGATGCTGTGATGTAATTATCAGCACCTGAGGAGAGCAGCTGACTTCAAGTGGTAAATTACTCCACCCAGAGATGACACCAGCAAGCGCTGTCACACCAGAGGCCAGCCACCTCACCAGAGGTCACCTCACAGAGCCTATCACACCAGAGGCCTCCCCACCAGAAGTCACCTCACCAGAGATCATCTCACCAGAGGTCACCTCACCTGAGGCCACCTCACCTGAGGCCACCCCACCAGAGGCCACCTCACCTGAGGCCACCTCACCAGAGGCCACCCCACCAGAGGCCACCTCACCTGAGGCCACCTCACCAGAGGCCACCCCACCAGAGGCCACCTCACCAGAGGCCACCTCACCAGAGCCTATCACACCAGAGGTCACTGCACCAGAGGTCATTATACCACACTCCAGCTCAGGGGGGAGAGACGTGTATTTTGGCTGGAAAACGCTAACTCTGACGGTGCAGTGGGGACAGAGAACATGCTTGACGGTGGAGTGGGGACAGGGAACATGCTTGAGTCACTAATGTGACTAATTTTCTTCTAATGCAGCAGAAAGTCTCGAGGAGCAAAGCGCGGGAGCAGGAGGTCGGCACTGTGCCGAGGTGGGTTTCAGGCAAGCAGCTCACCACAGGCCGCCCGAAGACTTGCGCGAGCTCCGCCGACGCAAGCAGGTCCCGCAGCAGGAAGGGGCACTCGCGCCCGACGAGCAGGAAGACCTGGGGTGGAGACAAGGTCTGGGTCGCTGCGCGTTGTGGGCCCAGCCAAGCACCGGCGGGGACGCGTCCCGAGGCTCCGGCCTCTCCCTTCAGGAGGGATCAAAGGAGACACACGGCCAGCGCCGGCGCCAGGCCACGGCCTTTTGTGGGAAACAGGACCCGAACTCCAAACCCCGAGGGCGCTGGCCCGGTCTGAGCTCGGTGGGCCAGAGGGAGGGCCACTCACGTCGCCCAGGGCCCGCTCCAGGAGCGCCGTCAGCTTCATCAGGCCCAGGGAGATGGCGGCCGGCCGCGCGCAGCGCAGGGCACCCAGCACTTCAGGGAACAGCTGTTCAGAGAGAGACTCGGGTTCACAGGTGCCCTCAGCGGGAAGCGCTTCTCAATGCGCACCACCAGGGTCAAAATGCCCGCCGGAGACACGGCGGGCACGCGGGCGGCTGCCGGCTTCGGCAACATCCCCACGGGAACGCAGCATCGCCCGCGGCGTCTGCCTGTACTGAGGCCGGGACCCGGGGTAACTGCAAACTGGGGGACACCCGCCCCGATCCCGCGTGGACTCGGCCTACAGACGCGGCCCAGGCGGCTCCCCGCCCGGGAGGGTGTGCCCGGGGAGCGGCGCGCTTCTACTGGCCGGGGCTCCGAGGGCTGCGGCATCAGGCTCCGCGCAGGCCTGGCCGGCAGCGCCACCCAGCGCCCAGGAGCAGCACCCGGCTGGAGCGAAGGCACGAGCCAACCACAGCAAGAGCCGGTGTGCCCCATCCAGCACCCCCCCCCCTGCACCCCGGGCCCCGCTGGCCACGGATCCCTTCCCGCCCAACAGTCCGTCTCCTCTTCTATCCTGCGGCCACCGTCTCCCGCTGTCCCAGAGCCACACCCGTGTACTGGCCTCCCAGCGCCGAGCCCGCGGGGTGCCCGACATGGCCTGTGTCCAGAGACCCCGCTCCCCTCGGCCCCTCAGCCTTCTTCGCTTGGAGGACCCAGAGGACGGAGGGACTAGCAAAGCAGTACGAGCCTCCAAGTGGCACTGGCCAAGCCTTTCACTTGTAAAGTCTGTCCCAAGGCCACACCTCTGGGAAGCTTGTCCACTCGAGCCACGGTGCAAATCGGGCCTCAAACTGCTCCCAGGTCAGAGATAACACGTGTGAGTGGACAGCCTCGCACACGGGGCCCAGGAGCCTCACGCTGCCCGGGTAATCCAGATCCTCGCCTAGGGACAAGGAAACGCGCGTCAGTGGCAGGGCGAGGCCAGGCACCAAGGCCGCCGGGAGGGGCTCGTTGCACAGAGCCGCCCCGTCCAGGACTGCGCTGACAGGACGCTCGGGGCTGGCGCCCACACCACCCGCCTGTCAGGAGTCTGGAAACACAGAAAGGCCCAAACAGGAGAAAAATCCTTCACTGGATTTCTTCACCCGTCACCTGTACATGCTTATGCAAGACCCGGCTCACAGGATAAATCTCCTGGTCTGCGTGTCTGACTGAGCCTGAGACTTGAGTTCTCAGTGGTGTCGAATTCACAACGTGAATTTTTAAAACGCTCTGGATAAGTTTGGGACTGAACATTCATGGGGTTCCTCCTCAAGCAAGACAAAGAGTGAAGCGTCCTCGGCCGCCCAGCTCCTTCCTCCGCAGCAACGGTTCTTAATTCCTTGGGTCTATTTTTAAAAATTTGCACAAACGTAGGCAGGTACAAATGTACGTTCCCCTCACGTTTTCACTTTGTAAAATCACCCTCAGGTATTTCCCCATTAAAAAGACAAGTCTCCGCATGCTTTTTTTACTGCTTAATAGTAGTCCATGACATCCACGCCTCCATGATTTACTTAACCAATTCCCTGGGGCTTGACACTTGACTTGTTCTAGTGTTTTTTTTTTTTTTTTACCTGTTTGCTATTAAAAATTGCTGCAGAGTCCCTTGTACCCACTCTTCCGGCCTGCTCCGGGCTGGGGCGGGGAGCGCAGAGCACGCGCCCTGGTGGCCGCTCACAGGTCTCAGCCATCCGGCGCGAGGTGCGCAGGGCCGCCTGGGGCCGCTCGTGGGACAGGTCGCCGCTGTTGCGCCTCAGCTCGTGTGGCATCTGTGTCCAGCCCCACCCGCTGCGCTCCAAGCCCCAGCGGCCCCTGGCCCGCACCCCATGCCCGGCACAGGCCCCCCAGCCAGGTTCCCGGAACTCCCCTGGCTCTCGGTCCTCATGCCCTCTCTTCACAGAGCCCTCCTCCTTCTCACTCAACCTGTGTTAGAACAGCCTCAATGCAAAAGCAGCAAGGTCAGAGCGAGAACCGGGCGTCAGTGGGCCGAGCCGACACACGCGGACCTGAGCAGCACGGACCTGAGCCCGCATGGATGATGCAGGCCGTGAAGGCTGCCCAGCACACCTCCCCGTGCGGGCTCACGACAGTGCTGGTGTCGCAACGTTCGCGGGCTTCAAAGCCGACTCTGCAGATCAGCTCATGCACGGAGGGGGAGAGACACGTGGTGACGGGGTCGCCTGAGCCCTGCAGCAGGAAAGATCAGAGACGCTGCTCAGCGGCAAACGGGACTGTTTTGATGAACTTAAGTCAGGAGAAAGGTCTACTGCATCCAAGTACAGGACACAAGGCAGCGCTGCTGTTAACACATTTTCTGACATCAGGAGGCTGCCTGATTATAATAGCGGATGAAGTATGAATGAAAGATTAGCAATGTAAATATTTTCAATTCAATGTTTAAAGATGTAAAGTGATTTTACTGATCACCACACTAAAGATGCAAGTTCACAGAAGCTCAGCACACTCTGTGAGCACAGCGTTCCTCCCAGAGACCCTCACTCTCCCCAGTAACAAGTAAGCTGCTTTCAGCAGGGAGTGGGAGAGCAGAAAATCAAGCATAACCAACTAAAACAGAAGTAGAGAGCAAACCCCGACTCCCCGTGAAGCCAGCTTCATGGTCCAGTTCCTTCTGGAAGCGCCAGGCCCCTAAGGCCGGGGCACTCGGCCCTGGGGAAAACACGGGGCTCTTGATTTGCTGCATCAAAGTACGTGGCATCTGGGTTTGCACAGTGCATGACCCGAGCTCCTCAAGGCTCAGTAGTGTGGTGACCCTGTCTGCTCTCCCAGAAGCTTCCCCTCTGCCCTAGGTCCTGGTAGTCAAGCAGTCCCCTGTGGAGCCTAGCAGCTAAGGTCTGGGGATCACACCTGCTGCCTGCAGAGTCACTCCCCGGGCCTGCCAAACAGCGGGCAGCCCCTGCGCAGGGCTCCCCTGCACCAGGTACTCCTGCCCCGGGCTCCCCTGTGCCCCGCAGCTGACACAGCTGCGGTCCCTGTAAGACCCGTTTTCAGATGCCTGCTTCGGGGTTTTTGACTAGTTCACTCTTTATATTCACTTCTCTTAGCTCAAAAACAAATGGTCTCTCTCCCGACAGATACTGAAATACACGACCGCTTTCACATTAAAGGCGCTCCCGCCGTCCCCCGCGCGGCCCCGCAGGCCTGAGCAGGCCAGAGCAGGCCAGAGCAGGCAGGGGCCCTCCGCCGGGCCTGCTCCTAGCCAAGCCCAGGGTTGAAAGTGGCCCAATCACCGCTTGAGAAGCACCCCTCCAATCAGAAGGGCTCCGGAGGTGCTCGGTTTGCATAAAGCAGCCCCCAGAGGGCCCGAATAAGCAGTTCCAGCAGGGCAAGAGCTGCCCTTCTTGGGTGGGGGTGAAAGGGCAGAGAGACTGATGATATCACACCTGCTCCTGCACCGAAGCTGGCTGTGGATATGGCGACTGAAGCCCTAAGAAGGGGCTCTTCGTATGATGGATTCTTTATCAACACAGTCACCAGTGCCAGCCGAGATCGGATCGGATAGGATCCGGAGTGAAGAAACTGGGTCTTACATGTGTGCTCCCGCTACGACCCGTACACAAAATGAATGAAGTTGGCCGAGTCACTGGCTGCTGCCTGAGATTGCGCAACCCCAGTGCCCACAGCTCCCTTTGGGGAAAGACTCCAGTTCTAGAAGTAGGCTTCAAGGGTAACCTGAAGCACGCTCTCAGGCAAGCAAAGACCCCACTGGTAATTTCAAAATGAAATCCAACCTGAAATTAAGGAACATCAGGTGCTAGCTGCGATGCTTTGCCACTCGTGGTGGATAAACACACCCTCCAGCTGTACTGTAGTCCCTGCCCTCCCACCAGCAGCCAGACACCCCTCACCTGCGCGCCCACCCACGCCGCTCTTCTCCGAGCCGCCAGTCCCCGCGCTGGGGCAAATGACCTGTGCTTGGAGCTAAAGGGTTAAGCGTGAATCAGTCCTCGGACTCCTTCTACCTCTTGCCCTGAAAAGGTAAATTCTGAGCCTCTGTCTTAATAGATGGTGCAAAACAATACCCGCGCCCAGGGCTGCAGTAACAAGATGGTACTTGAGAAGCATCCAGCTCGCAGTGCTCAAGAAGCTAATCACCGGCTGTAATGTTTGATAATTGCCGCGGGAGGGAAATAAAATCTTTATTGCGAGGCAACCTGGTGGAATCGCGCGACGGTGGTGAAGACCATGATGGCTTCGTTTCACACTCTACGCATGGCCCGGGGCGGCTAGGGTATGGGGTGAGCTGGAACGGCAGGCGTTGGCGCCCACGCCGCCAGACCCCTTGCAGGGAGGGCTCGTCAGCCGGCGCGGCCGCGGCTCCAGTACCGAGGGGGCCGGACCCGCTCGCGAGCGTCACGTCTACACTGAACGAGAGGACGGAGGGACGCGGCCCCTGGGGAAGTCGGCGGGTCGGAGGCGGGCGGGCCTGTCGGTCGGCCAGCGCGAGGCAGGCGGCCCACCCGCCTCTGCGGCCGCCCCCGGAACCCGCCCGCCCTCCACGCCTGGCCCGGCCCGGCTACCTCCATGACGTCCGATCAGGCCGCCGGCGCCGGAAGATGACACTCCGCCCGCCCGGCCGAGGTCCCTGACGTCCGTTCGGGCCGCCGGCGCCGGAAGATGACACGCCAACCCGCCGGGCCGAGGTCCCTGACGTCCGCTCAAGGCCGCCGGCGTCGGAAAATGACGCGCCAGCCCCGCCCCGCCCGCCGGCACGCACGCACTTCCGGATTCGCGCGGCGCCGGCGCGAGACTTGCGCTCTCGCGGGAAACGGCGCCGTTTTTGGCGCGGGCGCGGGACGGCGTCTGGCTTTGCTGAGCGCGATGGAGAAGCGCGGCCGCGGCGGGAAGCCGGGCCCGAGCCAGACGCCGCAGCTGCCGCCTGCGACGCCGAAGCGAGAGCGGAAGCTCAGCATGTTCGAGAAGGAGTCCGTGAGTGCGGGGCGCCCCGTCCGGCGGGGCCTCGACGCCCCGGGGCGTCCCCCCAGCGGGGGAGCGGCGGGCTCGCTGTGGAGAACGGGCTCCGCCCCGCCTTCGTCCCGCGGGCCGGGCTCCCGCCCGGCTGGTGCCCTCCGGCCGCCAGGGCCTGACCCGCTGGGCCCCCCACCCCCACCCCCCCACCCCCACCCCACTGCTCTGTCCGGGGCCCCGAGGCTTCGAGCTTGCGTTGGGGCAAGCGCAGCCCGCCCTGGGGTGAGGGGGCGGCGCTGTCGCGTGCGCTTCCCTGAGGACGTCGGGAAACACCCACGATGGTGCTGACTCAGGTCGAGGCAGGCACCAAGAGCCACACCCGAAGGCCTTTCGTGACACGCGCGAACTGTCAGGCCCATCCTCGCGCCTTCCAAGGCGCTGGCGGTGGTTTCCTGGGTAGTGGCCTGGCCTGACCACCATGGGGCCGTGTGACCTGCGGGACCCACGTGTGATTTAAGAACCATGTAAAATAGACAAATCTCTAGCTAGGCTAAAAGAAGAGGAGAAACAACATTAGTAAACAGAATCACAGATGAAAGAAGAGAAATTACTAGAGATAGAACAGAAATGCACAGGGTCCTAAGTTGCAATGAACAGTTATATGCCAATAAATTAAGTAACTGAAGAAATGGGGAAGTTTCTGGATCAGTATCGTCTACCAAGACTAACACAGAAACAGGCGAGTCGAGCAGTCTGGTCACAAGCATGAAAACGGAAACAACAAATCTTTCCAAAAGTGAAAGCCCAGGGAGCCCCTGCGGGCCGCCCCCTCCTCAGGCCTCACGCCGCCTCACGCGCCTCTCGCCCTCTCCCTCCAGGCGGGGCCCCTGTGGCCGCAGCCCCCCCAGGGGCGCGCCCTCCGCGTGGGGTCCCGGCTCGCGTCCGCGGCCTCCAGCAAGGAGCTCCTCATGAAGCTGCGGCGGAAAACGGGGTACTCCTTCGTGAACTGCAAGAAAGCGCTGGAAACTTGCGGCGAGGATCTGCAGCAGGCAGAGAATTGGCTGCACAAGCAGGCCCAGAAGGAGGGCTGGAGTAAGGTGGCCAAGCTCCATGGGAGGAAGACTAAGGAGGGGCTGATTGGGCTGCTGCAGGAAGGAAACACAGCTGTGTTAGTAGAGGTAAACTGTGAGACAGATTTTGTTTCCAAGAATTTAAAATTCCAACAGTTAGTCCAGCAAGTAGCCCTTGGAACTATGTTGTACTGTCAGAACCTCAAGGATCAACTCTGCACATACAGGAAGGGCTTCTTGAATTCCTCTGAGCTCTCTGATCTTCCTACTGGGCCTGAGAGAGAAGGATCTCTCAAGGATCAGCTGGCTTTAGCAATTGGGAAATTGGGAGAAAACATGACTCTTAAACGCGCCGCATGGGTGAAGGCGCCCGCCGGATTCTATGTCGGGTCTTACATCCACGGAGCGACGCAGAGCCCCTCGCTGCACAACCTGGTGCTGGGCAAGTATGGGGCTCTCGTCGTCTGCGAGATGTCCGGGCGGACAGCAGACCTCGAGGCCGTGGGCCGCCGCCTGGGGCAGCACGTGGTGGGCATGGCCCCGCTCTCCGTGGGCTCCCTGGACGACACGCCCGGGGGAGAGGCGGAGACCAAGATGCTCGCCCAGCCCTACTTGCTGGACCCCTCCATCAAGCTGGGGCAGTTCGTGCGGCCCCAGGGCCTCTCCGTCGTGGACTTCGTGTGCTTTGAGTGTGGGGAAGGCGAGGACACGGCCGAGGCCGAGTAGCTTCCGGAGACGCCCGGCCTGGGAGGAGACGTCTCTTCACTCTGGATGTCATTCCACAAAGAGTTTCCTGGGCCTCTTCAGACCCAGGATATTTCACTTGGTGCTCATAATAAAATTACGTTCTCTGTGGTTAAAAAAAAAAGTGAAAGCCCAGGACAAGAAGAATCAAACCCTTAAAGAAGAAACAATGCCCATCTTGCTCAAGTAGTATCTGAAAATAGAAGAGGGACTGTTTCCTAATAATACAGCTTACAATGCTAACGTTGCCCTAGTGCCAAAACCAGGCAAAGCACAAGAAAGATGTAGACCAGTATCCCTGAGAACCATCAACCAAAACTCCAGCTTCAAAAAGAAATACCTGAGAAGCAAACGAAAGTGGTAATGAACTAAACAGTGATTAGGGCACTAGATAGTGACATAGAAAGCACATCCTGTGCTTGTGGATGGGAAGAATCAATGTCATCAAAATAACTCCTGCGTAAAATGGTACACAATCCACATCAAAATACCAGCAGTGTTTTTCAAAGTACTGAAAAAAAAAATGGCACAAAGGGCCTCAAATTATTGCAAAGGTAATCCTGAAACAAAAGGCTAGAAGTAGTGTTGTTTAACTTGAAACTACTCTAAAGACGCAGACTGAAAACAAGGCAGTGTTGGCCCAAACACATACAAGGATCAGTGGAATAGAATCAAAACCCAGAAATAAATCCATAGACATAGCACCTAATCTATGATGAAGCAGCTCTGATCACACCCTGGGGTGAGGACAGTTACTTTAATAAATGGTGCTGGGAAAATTGGAAAGCCACACCCAAAAGAAGGAATTTGAACCCCTGTAACTCCGTACACAAACTCCAAATGAATTGAAGGCTTAGATATAAGACCTACAGCAATAAAATAAATGGCTGGTAACGTGTTCCATGATGTCAGTGATAAAGATCATTTTGGAGATTTGAGCCCTAAAGCAAGGAAATAAAAATGGCTGGGATTACCTCACGTTAAAAAAAGCTTTTACAGGGCCTCCCTGGTGGCGCTGGTGGTTGAGCGCAGCGCTGTGAAGCTGTCCACAGCCTCTGCAGTGCCAGTTCGATCCCAGCCGGCCATGGAGATACCCACATGGCGAGCAGACCTCTGCTGTCTCGCCCACTGCTCCCCTCAGCAGTGTATTTCAGTCAGTCTGTCTGTTCTGTTCCCCACTCTGTCTCTGGTGAATCCTCTCACCCTCCTGCACCTCTGGCCTGTATCCCAGTTCTTGTATAAATAAAATCTTTTTAAAAAATTCTTTTACACAGTGAAAGAAAATACAAGTTTTAAAACCCTATTAAGTGGGGTGAAATAGTCACACAGTATATAACTGATAAGCATCAGTATCCAAGATATCTAAACACAACTCAACACTAAGTGACCACACTACTCAAAAAATGGGCAGTTGGTATGGACAGTTCACCAAAGAGGATTTCCAGAAGGCAGGTAGACATGAAAAAAGTTCATCTCTTCCAGTTAGAGAAATGCAGGTTAAAACCAGTGACACCATATAACACCTGTGAGAAGGGCACAAATTAAAAACACCTCCACAGCAAGTGCTGGAGAAGATGCAGGGAAAGCAAAGCCTGTGATGCTGGCGGTGGGAGTAGGGACTGATGCAGCCCTCAGTAGGATGCTGTTCAGCCTTGAGCAAAGATGGAATTCAGCCACTTGGGGGGAGTCAGAATTATGTGCAGTAAAGCAAGTCAGGATAATAAAAATACTGGATATTTACATAGGATAAAATGCTTATTAAAAACTAGAGAATGTAAATATACACTGAGGGATCTGAGGCTGAGAGGAATGGGGGAGGGAGTGGTAAGGGATGGCGGTGGGGGGAGAAAACAGTCGCTGGGCACAGCAGTTCGATGTTAAAACAACACCTAAACTCTTGAAATTCATTATTTGTTACCTGAAAAGGAACGTTGAAAAATCAACGTGTCAGAATAAAACTAAGATTTGTGTAACAAAAAATTACTTGGAGATAAAAATTCTTGTATAAGTGCACAAGCGAACCAGTTCCTGATGAGAAGGACTATTACGACATGGCGACGTTGTTGCCACAGGACGCGGGGTGGAGGAGCGTTGGAAGGGGGTTAAAGTCCAACCGCCCCACTGTAAAGAGCGGGTGACATGACGCAGTGTAGTAATACTGTATATCTGAAAGCTGCTGAGAACTGAATCTTGGAAGTCTCATCCTGAGAAGAGTAACCATCAAGGGTGATGGAGGTTGGCTGGCGGTGGGGTGTGCTCACAAAACACAGGCATCAGTTGCCATGTCATCATTGTAACACGTCGGTGAAAACACAGGACGTCATTCACAGCGGCCATCACATGTGAGAGGCATGGAAAAGTTTAGTTGCTTCCTTCAGCAGCAGGTACAGGAGCGCTCTTCAAGGCCTCCAAAACACACCGTCCTGCTTAATCCTCCGGGTGGCAGCTGCTGGATCAAAGTCCAGACCCCTCACCACGCTCCCCTTGTCCACCCCATCTCCTCACTGGCTGCCTTTCTGACCTTACCCTGCTGCCCTCTGCCACAGGACCTTGGAAGTGGTGATTACACCTGTGTTCTCGGAGCAGTTAGTGTTGCCCCTGAGGCCTGTGTCTTCCCAGCCCCTTCTGGGCTTCAACTCATTGCAGAGGGGCCTTCCCTGATGACTTAGTCTAAGTCGTCACCCCATGATTTCATGTTTCTAGCAGTCGCCACCACATAGACGATCCCACTCACCTGTGCACCTCCTGTGTCTGTGGCTCCCCGTCCAGGGCAGCGACTGGGCACCGATGCTGGTTGCGGGCGAGCGCACTGCTGCTGCTGAGGGCCCGGGGCTGGAGCGTCCATTGGATCTAGACATGAGGTGTCTCCTTGTGCTGAGCTGTTAATGTACCAGAGCAACACGGTAGTTAAGGCTCCAGACTTGGTGTGTGTAGCCTCAATAATCGCTTTCCTTACTCAAAAATAAGTAACAGTAAAATAGTTGACATTGTAAGAAGAAAAAATTGGGGGTGCTGTATGAAAGAACTTCCATAAGCTCAGAGGAGGCAGTGAAGACCCCACATGCCCAGCCCAAGCGGCTCCTGGAGGCCGCTGCTGCTTCCAGCTCTTTGGCAGCTCTCAGGGATTTTCCGAAATACGATGCAGATTTGTGTTTAGGTAGAGAACGGGTGGCAGATGTGGGCATACATGTGGGCACACACACTCGCACACAAAGACATGCAGGCCCTTCGAGGCTCTCGCCACCTGCCGGGGACGCCAGGGCGCAGGCACACCCTCGTCAAGGCCCTCGCTGGGCTGCCCGGCCTGGTGTCAGCCTGTCCCACCGCACCAGCAGTGGGTGGATCACAGCAGTCATGCGGCCTCTCTCCCCCTCAGTATGCGCAGATTTTGAGGGAGAGACTGAGAGAGTCAGTCCACGACGTCCAGTACGTGGAGCCTCCGTTCGATGACTCCATCGCGGACATCGGCAAGGAGTGGAAGAGCGCCCTGGCCAAGCTGAAGTTCGCCAACTCCTACAGGATGGAGCCGCTGAAGAAATTCCAGGCGTACTCGGTGGAAACCAAAGTCCAGCAGATGCTGAAGGTGCGAGGGGCCGCGCTGCGCCGGCTGGAGGGCTGGTGGGGAGCCCTCCGACCTCGGCCTCTCCACCGGACAGGCCCGCTCTACCCTCCCGCCTCGGCCTCTGAGTCAAGGGGGGTGGGGGGACACCTTTTAATGGGTGACCTTTTTTTAAACACCAGCCTAGTCTGGGAAAGCTGCTCGGACTTCGCAGAGCGAGGCGGTGCTAGTGTCCGCGCGGAGGTGTTCGTGCTGCTCCGCTGACTGCAGGCGCCGCCGTGCAGATGCCAGCTTCCCTTTCCCAGGAAAGGACCCGATTTTAGAAGTGGACCGTAGACAGTGTGTTCGCGGGGCAGCTTTTCTGAACCCCTCTCTGCCTCTGGCCTCCGCGCTGGGCCCAGGTGCCCGACGTTTGACGACAGGAGGCCGGGCAGCCCGAGGCCCACCCCGGCCTGGCTTCCACGGCACCCCCTCCTCCTCCCACTCACAGGACCGCCCCTGCGAGACTGGCGGGAGCTTTAGTGTCTTGCGGGTGGCCGGCCGAGCCTCTCCAGCCGCAGCGAGACCATGCTCTCGAATGAGAGCCTCTACTGCAGAGACCGTCCCCGCGGCCCTGCAGCCCCCGCTGCGCGCGGGCGTCCCGCAGCCAAGTGCGGTGGCAGAGCCCGTCCGAGAGGGCGCCTCGGACTTCAGGGAACAGAGGGCTCGCGGTGCAGGTCGTGGTCCATGCGAGCAGGAGGCACTGGGGCCACGGGGTGGGGCTTCTCCATCCTGCAACTGTCCAAGGCGCTCTGGCGAGGGCTCATCCACAGGTTCCTGGGGCTGCGCTGGACGCGCCGGGAGGCGCCGCATGAGGAGCACCTCAGAGGCCCGTGCAGAGCTGGGAAGCGGCGGACATGTGCCCATGGGGCTCGCCCGGGCCTCAAGCCTGGGACCTGCCAGGCAAACTGAAGAGCGAGTGGAGAAAGCCTCGTGTGCGGAAGAGAAGGCTGCCGTCCAGGCCTGGGGGGAGTAAAGCCTCCAGGCTCAGGCTTAGATCTGGAAGGTTCTGGGCCAGACCCAGGCCCAAAGCAAAGGGCCGTTTCTTTGGTTTCACACACCCACGAGCCAGCGGTGTCGGCTGGAAACAGTCATCGCCGCGATGAGCAAAGGTCAATAGAACAACTTTATCTTTAGACTCAAAGTGGGGACCACCCGGTGGCGGGGAGCTCCCGAGGGGCAGCAGGGGCTTTGCTCGCCAAACTGCCGCGGGTTCGCTGTTGGGCTCTGCCTGGGGAGTGGGCAGGTGGAGGTTCCTGCGCCCTCCAGGGAGGTGCAGGTGCGGGTGCAAGGCGGAGCGTCTCCCCGTGGGGTGCATCGCCGGGTCAGATGTCATCTGGGCGAGAGGCACGAGAACGAGGGCACATTCCTGAAGGCACCCCTAGTGGGCTCGGGGTCCAGCCAGACCTGAGGGGCCGTCTGTCTGCTGGGGGTTCAGAATCAGGGTGCACCGGGCGGGGCCGCCTCAAGGTGTCACAGTCCTGCTGCCTGCCGTGTTGGCCTCCGGGGCTTTTTCCTCCTGCCTGGACTCGATTGTGCTGTTTCCCTCCCTGGGCCGGGAGTCCAGGGAGCTGGGCCCAGGCCTCGGTCTCATCTCTGTGCAAGGGGCTCGCCCGAGGTGCGTGCTGTCAGCCACCACGCGCCAGTCGGCCTGCGGCTGAGGGAAGCCAGGGCCTCACCGCCGCGTCTCCCTGGCTGCCCGGCATCCTCTGCGGTATGATGGAAAACGACAGCGCTTCTGCTCCTGGACGCTGAGGAAACTGGGGTAACTCGGCCTCGCTTGGCATCCACATGACCCTCATGAAAACCCAAACCTGAACTTCAGCAAATGTGTAAAAAACGTTAAAAGATTTCTCCCTTGCACAAAGAATTCCCACACTTTGAAACTCCCCTGTGTCTCCCCAGTAACAGAGGAGCCTGTGCAGGGAACTTGCGGCCTGACCGAGGTGCTGGCCCAGACCCCAAATAAATCTCCCTTAAAATTGTTATTTAGGTAAGTCGGTAACTTATTTAATAGTGTTCAGTTATGAATATGTCTTTTGTAAAAAAAAAGTTCTATGTGTTACTTGATGTGGGTCTGCTAAACTTAAGGGGCCTGTTCGCTGCCGTGATAGTCACCTGCAGTTCTGCGTTCCTATACACGGTCAGAACTGCCCTTCAGAACCGGTCAGTCAGCCATAGGAGCCAAACCTTACAAGGAGCCTTTCATAGCAATCAAGAGCACAAAACTTGATCACTCCGGGAAGGGCGTGCGTCACTAGGTATGGCCGGGAACGTCTGAGGGCCAAGGACCGATGTATGACAAGGGACCCCGGAAGCTGACCAGTGAATGCTTGTTGATAAGATTAGGACCATGGCCGGGGGTCTGGGGTCTGGTTTCCATGACAACACTTGGTCAGCAGCCTGAGAACATGGTCAGCAGCCTCACGTCCCCCAAGCCCTAGATGACATTCCTGAGGGTCACCTTGTCCTCCTGACCCACATAGCTGGTGCTGGATGATTAGTCTACCAGCAAACACGGCCAGGATCTTGTTCTCAACAGCATCCTGCCTGTGCAGCCTGCTCCAGACCCCCGGGTCTTTGTCAGTGTGGTGGTGCCCGATGCAACAACTTAAACATGTTTTCTACGTGGATTTTTATTAAGAAAATATTAGAGCTGAAACTGTTTTTCTTCCTTATTTAAAGGAAAGTCTTAAAGACGTCAAATACGACGATAAAGTCTTCTCCCATCTGTCGCTCGAGCTGGCCGACCGCATCCTGTCAGCCGTCAAGGAATTCGGGTTCCACCGTTATAAGTTCATCATAAAAGTCTTATTTATTCAAAAGACTGGTCAGGCCATAAACGTAAGTGCCCAGGGGGCGTGCCCCTCAGCTCCGTGAGTCCATGTTTGTTGTGACGCCTTCGGGGCATTGGGGGCCTGACGTGCCCCTTGAGTGAAGGGCTGGTTCTGTCAGACATCTTTCACTGTAAAGTATTTGCAAAGTACTGACCTGGAAAGGCCATTGGAGTCATACTTTATCAGTCTCTGTGGCTGTTCCGTTCATTGATCCTCGGTCACACCTGTTTTAATGTCATTCATTGTCCACCCCCCCAGTGCACGGAAGGGTCAGGTACTGGGAAACAACGAGAATCCGGGCACACGGCCTGGTTCTTGAGGCGTCTTTAAGTCCAGGAGGTCAAGGGACACAGTCCAGAGTTAAAGTGTGGCTGACGTGTGAAGGCTGGCGAGTCCGGAGGCCCAGCTGGTCCTGTAGCAGCGTCGCCTCCTGCGGCCTGGCGGGCTTGGTCCCTCATGCGGGGAGACGCAGCCGCTTGCTGGAGCTGCGGTGAGGTGCTAAGAGGGCCTGTGCTGTGTAATGTACTTACTCCAGTAGCCAGGACAGTCCTGTGGAAAGCTCCCTCTGGCCTCCTGGGCTCCCAACTTGAGAGGCAGCTGTGGGCACCACCCGGGGCTCGGTCGGGGACGGAGCAGGCAGGGTCGGCCACGCTGTCGTGGCAGGTCCTCTCGCCCAGGAGGGGACCCCACTCTGTATGCACCCAGGGAGCTGCGGAACAGGACCTTGAGGATGGTGATAGCCCCTCAGAAGGTCACGGGGAGCGATGTGCTGGCGAGGCCCTGTTGGAGCACAGGGGGCCTGTGGCCTGTCAGCCACGCTGGACATACAAGCCTCCCCCAGAGGGGGCCGCTCAAGGCCCAGCGTGGACTAGCTGGTGCTCCGCACGCATCCCAGGGGTGGGGAGCCTGCCCCCGCTCCTGGGGGAGGAGCCACAGAGGGTCCGCGACTCTGTCAGTCGCCACAGAAAGGCTGGTTGTGTCCAGCCGCAGGGGCCACAGAAGCCAGGCAAGGCCCGGCGTTCCCCCACAGCCAGCTGCGTGACCAGCGCGGCCTCTTCCACCCAAGACGAGATCCTCACTCCGTTGCCCTTGATGACCTTGCTGGGGGAGAAAGAGCCCCGTTAGGGAAGATCACTGGTGCCAGGGCCTATGCTCTGGGCCTCCGATCCCGACCCGTGGCCCTGTGCTGGCCAAGACCAGAGGCGCCAGAGACCACTGGGGACAGAAGGGGGCTCACGGAATACCCTGGCAGGGAGCAGGGCGGCCGGGGATCTGCACCCTGGCGTGAGACTCCCTTTCATGACCGTTCTCAGGGGGAGACCTGTTCTCAGGTCATGAGACCTGAGAACTGGGGGCGCCAGTGTGGCCTGTGATAGCGTGCCCTGGCCCCGCTCTACATCCCCCCGCTGGCCTGGCTTTTCTGGTTTCCACACGGCAGCCTCACGAGTGGCTTTTCAGTCACCCCAACCTGCCTGCTGGGCCCGGCGGGGGTGGGGGGGGTTCAACCTTGGAAGTAGTGCTGGGCCCCCTGCTGGGGACACTGTCTGGGGAAGGGCAGGTGGCACAAGAGGGACACAGCCTCTGTCATAAGTATAACTTTTTAAGACACACGTGCATCTTTGTTAAAACACACACAAACTAGAGATTTTAAAGCTGCATCTTGACATGTTTGCTCTGAAGTTGGTTTTTCAAAACTTTCTCCCCAGGTGGCCAGCAGGTGGATCTGGGACGTGGCGTGGGACAGCTGGGTACAAGCCAAACACGAGACCGAGAGCTACGTGGCCTTGGTCCTGGTGTTCGCGCTTTACTGTGAATAGGGAGCGTCTGGCAGCCTCTGGTGAGAGACTCTTGAAGTTTGAGTCCGTGATCTGCATGGCACTTTCAATGAGTGATAGTTTTATCTCCAGCTGAAGTCTCTAAATTGTTTTCTTTAAACAAGTAAAAGCCAGGTTTTTACCTTCACGCTTTCTAGTCGTGTTTATTAACATCCTGTTACCTCGGCTCATTGGGCTACTTATAGGGGATGAGAATATGGGGAAATTATTTCTTATTCTTACTAGATTTAAGAAAATTAGAATTTGCTACAGGAAATTGTGATGTACCTTGTAAAATTTTAAATTAAGTAAATGTTAAGACAGAATTTTGAAAAGCTCTAAACACAGACATGGTTTGGATGTACAACTTTGTGGTTTTTTGAAAGGATTACTATATTAACACTTCCCTAATATCCTTCCTGTCCTATCAACAAGCGAATTAGGTGGGTTAAAATTATGTCTTTAAAAATGTGTGATCTGCAGCTTTTAACAGCAAAATCAGAAACATTAGTATAAATAACTGATCAGAGCTTTTATTATTCAAAAACAATATGGCATCCTGTAGGAGCTATTGGGTAATTCTGATATTATCCAGTGAGTTATCAGTTAAAAATAATGACCCATATTTTTAATTTACATCTCACACAAATATATTTACTATTACACAAGTTATTTAAATCGCAAAGCAAAATCTTCTGTCATAAATTGTTGTTACAAGTATACCATTAATTTTTTTTAAAGATTTATTTATTTGTTTATTTAAGCACTGGGTACAGTCAGAAGCGCGGGAGGGTGAGAGAACTCACCAGAGTCAGAGGGGAGAGCAGAGCAGGCAGAAGGACCGAGGTACACTGCTGGGGGAACAGCGGGTGACAGGAGAGGTCTGCGCACCATGTGGGACCCTCACCCGGCGGCCGGGGATCGAACCGGTGCTGCAGAGGCTGCAGGCAGCTTCGCAACCCAGCGCTCACCCACTGTGCCACCGGGGAGGCCCTCTATAATCTGTTTTTAAGGGCGAGCGAGTTTGGCTTCACCTGACCCTGTGTTTGGCTTCTCCCTATTCCACATACAAGTGACACCATCTGGTGCTTGTCTTTGTACTTCTGATTTGTTTCACTGAGCATCATGCCTTCCAGCTCCATCCATGTTACCACAAACGGCATGAATTTGTCATTTTTGATAACCGAGTAGTATTCCACTGTGTACATAAAACACATTTTCTTGATCTGCTCATCTGTTTTGGGGCTCTTAAGTTTGTTTCCACAGTTAGACTAATGTAAACAGTCCTGCAATGAACACGGGACTGCAAGTTTCCCTTCAGATTAATGTATTTGTGTGTTTTGCTAGATACCTAGGAGTAGAATTGCTGGGTCATATGGTGGATCTATTTTAACATTTGGAGAAACTTCCATACTGTTTTCCACGGGGCTGGGCCACTCGACATTCCCACCAATGTAGGGATTACAGGTTGCACAGGTTTTGTGCAGCCCCTATTAAAATCTCAATAGCATTTTTTATAGAAATAGAATGAACATTACCAAAATCCACCTGGGGCCAAAAAAGACCTCAAATAGCTAAAGAATACAAAAATAGGGGCCTCCCTTGTGGCACAAGGGGTTAAATCTCAGCACTATGAAGCTGTCCGCAGCCTCTGCAACACGAGTTCAATCTCCAGCCAGGGAGCAAATCACAGGGCACAGCAGACCTCTCCTGTCTCCCCGCTGCTCACCCTCAGCGGTGGATTTCAGCCAGTCTGTCTGTTCTGCTCCCCACTCAGTCTCTGGTGAATCCTCTCACCCCCCACACCTCTGGCCTGTACCCCAGTCCTGGTATGCACACATAAATAAATCTTTTTTAAAAAAGAATACAAAAATAAGTGATTTCCATCATTTAACTTAATGAAACTCTGAGTATAAATAATCAGAGACATCACCTTATACAGAATTGCTGCTGGAAAGTTCACTAAAAACTTTTATCCATTTATACCTGTTTAAATCTTACATCTATAAAAGTGATTTTCTCACTGATGAGTTTTGTGACAGAGATAGTGTGAATGTATTTGGTGAACACTCCCAGGTGGCGTAAGTTCACGTGTCTGGATTCTATCCCATGTTATCTTTGACGACATGGCCTTTTAGCTAAGTCAGCTGCTTTAGAGCTGCATTTCTGGACTCATAATGATTTGTATGACACATTTTTTTCACCAGGCTCTGAATATCAGTTTCAAAATTGGCTAAATTTCTGGTCATTGTGTTATTTTCAAAAAAACTTTTAAATATTTGGGATGAAAGAATTGCAGTTCAGGGTATAAAGATTTAGATGGAGCCTAAAATATGCTCCAAGGAGGGATAAAAGTTGGGGGATTTTTTCTGGGAAGAAAAAAGGAAGATAAAGTAAGTGGTCAAAGGAAAAGTTAGTGGCGAAAAGCTCAAGCTGCCCTCGGTTCTACATAATTGGCTGCTGAATTTTTTTTCTGTTGGAAAACGTCAGTCAATCCCCTGTCCCTGCGACCCGATGATCCATTCTCTGCCGAATCCTCGAATAACAGCTCCTGAAACAATCTCTTTCTGACCCACTTCCAAGCGTTTTGGTCCAATTCAAGCAAGGAAAACAAGTGGTTTTTCTATTGTGGTTTCTCTGGCCCTACTTTACAGGGCTCACGGTCTGGTCCACCCTTCCAGAAACTGACCGGCTGGTCAGTGTTGCGCCTCGGTGGCAGCTGCTGGCCCAGATCAGGGTGTTAATGTGAAACACACAGCCGGTTCCCCGCCTTAGCGGGCAGGTGAGGCAGGAAGGGCCCCAGGAGGTGAACTCAGCATAAGCTTTGCATCAAAGAAGCTCTTGGCCATATTTAAGAATACTTAAAATGCAAAAGATGAAGTGTTGGAAGTCAATACCAACTTCAGGCTGTGGCAGTTTATCAAGACAGCTAAGAAGCTGCAGGGGGAGAGGAAGACAGAGGCTCGGCGAGTCTTGGCAGGGTGATTACCGAGAAAACACCGATTCTCAACATTAAGCTTTAACTCACAGTAAATCAAATAAATATTAGCATTACAATAAAAAATTCCCATGCATGTACCGGCAGCGAGTGCCAGTGTTTCAGTCCTGGGGCAGCTGTGGTTGCTCCTCTCCCCGGTGCCCGTCTGAGGTGGTCTGGGCAGAGCTGGGGCCGCGTCCGCCAGCTCCCGGGCAGCGGCACCAAGCCGAGCCTGCGCGTCAACGTGGCTGACACCCCTGCTTCCAGCAGCTTATTCTAAAGCGGTCCCTGCCCCCGGCCTGGTCGCCACCCCCAGGCAGGGCAGCGCTACCCATGCCCTGCAGTCTTGGGCTCTGGCTGTCGCCATTGCGGAGCCCTTGCCTCGTCCAGCTGCGTGGCCGCGGCCACTTCCTACACACACTCGCCTCCTCGCCCACCTTGCTGACCAGACCTCGCGCCCACTCATCGGGGCTGAGTTCAAGTGGCCACACTCCGTGGACTGCGCCGAGGACGCGCCGGTTTCCCTGGCCCCGAGCCCCCTGCACCCTCCCTCCAGCCGAGCCCTGGCCTGTGATCCCCTGGGCTGACAGGGTTGCGCGTTGCCACGGAAGTGAGGGGCCGGGAGCAGCCCTGGAGCTCTGCGCCCCCCAGCCGCCCCTCTGGCAGCCGCGCCATCGCCGCCTCCTGGTGCTGCGCTGGAAAGCCTTGCCTCTGTCTCTGCCACGTCACTCTTTTTTTAATCTTGGTTTTTGCGGAGAAGAGCTGGTGTGCAGGCCCCAGGTGAGGGGGTGAGAGGACTCCCAAGAGACAGAGTGGGGAGCAGAGCAGGCTAGGGGGCAGCGGGGAAACAGAGGGTCTGCTGCGCCCTGTGGGTCAGCACCTGGGCTGGGGATGGACTCAGGCCCAGCGGTGACCCCCTGGGACTGACCCCGGCCACAGGGAACCCCCATTACTCTTGACAACAAAGTCCAGGTGCTGCTGCACAATCCGACTTCCCCCTCCTGGATTGCCTGGTTTGGTCTGAAGCTGCTGCCTCACGAGCCAGGCTGGTGTCCAGGCTCCGGCCACCCCAGGTTGCTGCTTAGTGTGGACTTCCCAAGGGACACACTTCACCCTTCTGGAATTCTCTTTGGTTTAGGACACTTGACACGTGAAGAGGGCTCGGCTCGGCTCCTGCAGCCCAGGAGGCGGCACCACGCTGTGTGTGCATTTGTGGTGGGTGCCAGGTTGGGTGTCGGGGGAGAAAGGCCGGAACCTGGGAGACTTGGGGTGTGGCTCCCGACCCTGAGCTCTGCGGGGTTCCCGGCAGCAGCGGCCTGTGCAGGCTTGAGGCGCAGTTTGTTGCAGTGAAGGTTTGGGCTCAGAACTGGGGACTCTGGGGAGCGACTCCTGTAGCAAAAGGTGCGGCGCTCAGGCCACTGCCAGCAAACTCGGTTTTCTGCAGGGCAGTCTGCTGGGGGGCAGTTTGTCCAGGGGTGACCAGTTGGATTTCAGCCCTGAGGGCCTAGCCCGGTGGGGGCCTTTCTTCTCTGCGCCCGCGCTCCCCGCCCAGCCCTCTGCAGCCGCTGGGTCTGGTCGGTTGGTGCCCGTACTTGGGGTGGCCCGTCTTTGTTTTTCTTTTTTACATCATTGAGCAAAATAAATTTTCCTGCGAGCGTCCTGCGGGCCTGGCCTCCTCGGCTGCGGCCGCACAGGAGGGGCCGCGAGGCCCGCACGGCCTGGGCTCAGGTTTGGGGAGCCCTAGGGCGGCCCGGGCAGCCCGCTTCGTTCCCGCCCCAACTTAGGGATGCTCTGCCCCAGGCGCGCACCCCGCGGGGGCTCAGGTGGGCAGCGGTTTCGCCCCGCAGGCGGAGCCCCGGCTTCCCGCCTCGCCCGCGGCGGCCGGCGCGGGGGCGGGCGCGGACACGCGTGTCTCGGCGTCCAGCTCCGCGACGCCCCTCGCTGGCCCTGACCGCGCCGCGCCGCGCGCCCGCCGCCCGGGACAGGCTGCGGGGGAGACGCGGCGCCTCGCGGGCGCCGGGCAGGCGGGGGGGGCGGGGCCCGCGGGGAGGCGCAGGGGGCGGCTTGGAAGGCGGGGGTCGGGCGCGGCCCCCCCTCGGCCGCGCGCCCCGTTCCGCCGCGGACCCCGGCCCTCCAGGGGCGCCCGCGGGCGCGAGCCCGGCGGCTCCTTCGGGGGCGCCCGGGAAGCCCCGCGGCCGACGACGCCTCCCGCCGGGCGAGGCGGCCCCGCGTTCCCGGCGCCTTCGGGAGCCTGAGGCGCGCGCGGGGAGGCGGGGGGCCGGGCGCGCGCCGGGACAAAGGCGGGGGGCGGGCGGGGGGCGGGCGGGGGCGCGGGGCCCGGGGCGGGGCGAGGGCGGCGCGGCGGGCGGGCGGGCGGGCGGGGCGGTGGGGGCGGGGCGGGACCCCCGCGGGGCGGGCGGGCGCGGAGGCTGCGCGCGGGCGGGCCGGGGCCGGGGCGCGGGCGGCGTCGCGGGCGGCGGTGCGGGCTCGGGGCTCGGGGCGCGGCGCGCTCGTCTCCTCCGCGGCTTCCCGCCGCTCCCGTCCGCGGCCTCCCGGCGGCGCCGCGCCCGCCGCGCGCCCGCCCGCCCTTCCCCCCGCGGCCGGCGGCCGGCGTCCCGCGCTGGCGGCCATGGCGGTGGCGCTGGCGCTGGCGGGCCGCGGGGCGCGCGGGGGAGGCCGGGGCCGGCCCCCGGGCGGCGGGCGGGCGGAGGGGGCGGGGCCGGGGCGGCGGGCGGCCCGCGCGGCGACGGCGGCGGCGGCGGCGGCGGCGGCGGCCGGGACGAGGCGGCGGCGGCGGCGGCGGCGGCGGCGCGGGGCGCTCGGGCTGATGGCGGCGGCGGCCGGGCCCGGGGCCTCCCTGTCCCCGCGCCCCGGCGACAGCGACCCGGCCACCCCCGGAGCGCCGTCCCCCCAGGTGAGCGGCTTCCGGGCCCGGCCGACGGCGCCCCGGGGCGGGGCGGGGCGGGCGGGCTCCCCCTAGGCCCGCGCGGGGCGCGCGCGGGAGCCGGCCCGGGCCGCCCGAGGCCCGGAAGCTGCGGGGCCCGGCCGGGGAGCCCAACTGTGAGGCGCCCCCGCGAGCGGGCGCGCCCAGAGGCCGGGCCGGAACTTCCGGGCCACTTGGGCCCGCGCCCCAGCCCCACGCGGCCGCGGGCCCGGACCCCACTCGCGGGACAGCGAGCCTCCGGACGCGCCCCCCGGACCGCGAGGGCCCCCCGACAGCCAAGTCCCCGGAGAGTGACTTCCCTGGACACGGCCCCCCTCAGTGAGGCCCTCGCAGTGAGTCCCCCTCACAGGGCCCCTCCACAGTGAGCCCCCCTCAGAGATCCCCCTCAGTGAGCCCCTCACAGTGAGCCCCCTCACAGAGTCCCTCCACAGTGAGCCCCCCTCAGTGATCCCCCCTCAGTGAGCCCCCCTCACAGTGAGCTCCTCACAGAGTCCCTCCACAGTGAGCAGAGTCCCTCCACAGTGAGTCAGAGTCCCCCTCACAGGAGTCCCTCCACAGTGAGCCCCCTCACAGTGAGCTCCTCACAGAGTCCCTCCACAGTGAGCACCCCACAGTGAGTCCCCCTCACAGGGTCCCTCCACAGTGAGCCCCCCTCAGTGATCCCCCTCAGTGAGCCCCTCACAGAGTCCCTCCAGTGATCCCCCTCAGTGAGCCCCCCTCACAGTGAGCTCCTCTCAGAGTCCCTCCACAGTGAGCACCCCACAGTGAGTCCCCCTCACAGGGCTCCTCCACAGTGAGCCCCCCTCATCCCCCTCAGTGAGCTCCCCCTCAGTGAGAGTCCCAGTCCACAGTGAGCACCCCACAGTGAGTCCCCCTCACAGGGCTCCTCCACAGTGAGCCCCCCTCAGAGATCCCCCTCAGTGAGCCCCTCACAGTGAGCCCCCTCACAGAGTCCCTCCACAGTGAGCCCCCCTCAGTGATCCCCCCTCAGTGAGCCCCCCTCACAGTGAGCTCCTCACAGAGTCCCTCCACAGTGAGCACCCCACAGTGAGTCCCCCTCACAGGGTCCCTCCACAGTGAGCCCCCCTCAGTGATCCCCCTCAGTGAGCCCCTCACAGAGTCCCTCCACAGTGAGCCCCCCACAGTGAGTCCCCCTCAGTGATCCCCCCTCAGTGAACCCCTCACAGTGAGCTCCTCTCACAGGAGCTCCCCTTAGAGTCCCCCCCCAGTGAGCCCCCCCAGTGAGCCCCCCTCAGTGAGCCCCCCACAGTGAGTCCCCCCCTCAGTGATCCCCCTCAGTGAGCCTCTCACAGTGAGTCCCCCTCACAGAGTTACTCCACAGTGAGCCCCCCACAGTGAGTCCCCCTCAGTGATCCCCCCTCAGTGAGCCCCCTCACAGAGTCCCTCCACAGTGAGCCCCCTCACAGTGAGTGCCCCCACAGTGAGCTCCCCTCACAGTTCCTCCACAGTGAGCCCCTACAGTGAGTCCCCCTCAGTGATCCCACCTAGTGAGCCCCTCACAGTGAGCCTTCCACAGTGAGCCCCCTCACAGTGAGTGCCCCCACAGTGAGCTCCCCTCACAGTCCCCCTCACAGAGTCCCTCCACAGTGAGCCCCCCACAGTGAATCCCTCTCAGCTCCCCCACAATGTCCCCCACAGTGAGTCCCCCTCAGTGAGCCCCCTCACAGTGAGCACCCCTACCACAGTGAACCCCCCACAGTGGGCCCCTCTCACAGTCCCCCTCACAGAGTCCCTCCACAGTGAGTGCTCCTCAGCTCCCCCACCGTGAGCCCCCTCACAGTGAACCCCCCTCACAGTGAGCTGAGCGCCCCCATAGTGAGCCCCCTCACAGTGAACCCCCCACAGTGAGCCCCCCTTGAGCCCCCCAGGCATGGTCCCACTCCAAATCGAGCCCCCTGGGACAGTGAGTCCCCAGCTGGGACCACAGGATAGCAAGCCCCCAACCCCACCGCCCTCCCCCCAGCAAGCCCCATAGTCCCCAGGCACAGCATCTGCCCGTAGGCCCCCATACTCCCTGGACAGTGGTCCCCTGGGCACTGGGCCCCCTTTACCCTGGTGTCCCCCACCGTGGGCCCCGGCTTGGCGCCCCGGGCCCCACTCCTCGGTTTGCTCCGCTGGAGGCCCTGCCCCTGCTCTTCTAGGCCAAGAGGTTCGGTGCCTGGTGTGGGGCGCACAGTCAGGCTGAACCCAGCTGTCTGCCTGCGACTGGGGCAGGGGCTGACAGCTGGTGGCAGAAGGTGGGGTGAGGGCTGTGGAAGGAGGACTCCCTCCGGTCAGCACCACCCTGGCCGCAGACAGCCGGGAGTGAGCCCAGCCCACCTGGGCCCTCTGCTGCGGGGCTGGACGCCCACCCCCCACTGCCCAGCTGTGCAGGGGGCGCCCCGGGGAGTCAGCATTCGCGTGGGGGGCGCCTCTGACGGAGGGGACCTGCACGCCGTGAGGGGGCTCATGGTGTCCGTGGGGCAGGGCCCTGGGGCGCCCCTGAGCGGGTGCCGCCGCCACAAACAGCCGTCCACGCCTGCTGGCAGACTGCGCTGCTGGCGTATCCCTGTTGGGGAGCCTCAGTTTCTGACCAAGGGCCTTGACCTTCTTTAGGCCCTTAAACAAACGGACTTAAAAATCCGCCACATGCTCAGAAGCAGGCGAACAGCGGCAGGTTTCTTGCATTCTTACAGGGAGTTAAACCTGAAGTGTAAAATGTTGTGATTGGAGGGTGGCTGTGAAGCGCGGGTTTGGGGGACACATGTAGCCCCCGCCCCCGGCCTGCGCTCCCCTGGGCAGGAGCGTCCACGCTGGGAATGAGTCTGGTAAGTCCTGGACTGTTGGTGCAGGCCCGGCCCGGCCCATCTCCGCCGTGTGGCCGCAGGGCGCCTCCCTTTCCCCGTCCCAGAGGGCCCGGCGTGGCCGCAGCACCCAGCCTCAGCCTCGCTGACCGGACAGCGCAGGACCTGGAGTGGAAGCGCCGCGGTGGTGTGAGAGGCCCTGGCCGCACCTGCTGCCATCCCCTGGGGCCCCCGGCCGCCCCGCGCTGCCGCCTGGACAAGGAGGCTCAGGCTCTGCAGCCTCTCCTGGGCCGCGGGTTGCCAGATGACCCGAGGGTTTATTTCTGCTGAATGTCGGCAATAAAAAAATTCACAGGGCTGATAACTGGCCAGTCCTCGCACTCACTGCCCTGGCGGGGTCCACGGAGCCACCACGGCCCGGCCAGCCCTGGGAGCGGGTCAGGCCGGGCGACCTGGGTCAGCGCCCGGCCTCTCGCAGCCTGTTGGCCGCAGGGGAGCGAAGCACTGAAGGCGGGTTTTGGTTTTGTCCAGGTCTTGCCAAACTCTTGGCTGCTTTTAATTACAACAGGGTAACGTTTGGGGCCAGTTGGTCCTCGTGGCGAGTTGGGAAGGCGATGGCGGGTCTTTGTTCTCTGACTGGCTGTTGTCTGGCCCCGGCGCAGGACGACAATGAAGACCACTCCAGCGACGGCGCGCAGCCCCCCAAGAGGCGGCGGATGGGCTCGGGCGACAGCTCCCGGAGCTGTGAGGCGGCCAGCCAGGACCTGGGGTATGGCCTCTGTTCCCCCCCCCCACCCCCCCACCAGCCAAGGCGGTCATTGATTCCCTGTGGACGTGGCTCGGGCTGGGTTTGCTGTGTCGCTCACCAAGCTCCCTTCGCTGCCTCGGGCGGACTCCACGTGTCTTGCCACCGTGGCCACCAGCATTGCCCGAGCTTTGCTGCCTCCACAGAGGCATCACGGCCACGGAGCAGTGGGGCGCCGCTGCGGGCGGTCTCCCTGCTCCCGGGCCCCCGTGAGGGCAGCACACGGCGCCTGTCTCAGGGCCGTCTCATCCCTGCACAGCAGCGGCAGCTGGCGGGCGGGCCTCAGCTCTTCGGAGCTGGGCCCCACGCCCCACCGTGCCACCCTTGCCCGGCTGTGGTCTGCGGTGGACGCTGGCACGCCGCACCTCGGCGCTTGGGCTCTGTCCGGGACTGCTGTTCCCACGTCCAGGGCCCTCGTGTGTCCAGGCCCGGGAGTCCAGGCCATGGGGCAGCTCCACGGTTGGTTTCCAAGAAGCAGCTGGACTGGCCGTGGCTCGCTTGCCTCCCGCCAGCAGTCACGGCCCCAGTTTCTTCACATCCTCACGGGATTGCTCTTTTCTGTGTTTAAAGCACAGGCCCTGAGCGGCGTGAGGTGGCGTCGCGCTGTCTCTTGAGGCGCCCCCTACGCCGAGCCTCCCCAGGGCCCAAGGCCGCTCATTTTGCCCAGTCCAGGCCTTAGTTGTGAGGGTCTCTGGTGTCCGCGGGGACCCATCAGTAGGCGCCGGGTCCCGAGGAAATGCTCCTGTTTCCTCCTCGGGGTTTTGGAGTTTTATTCCGCACGCTCAGGTCCCTCACCCAGATTTTAATTGTGCGCATGGCGGGAGGTAGCGCCAGCCCCTGGCGCTCGTGTGGGGTCCAGAGCTGCCTTTGGGGCAAGCGCGCCCTTGTGTTCTGTGCGTGCTCGGATGCGTGGGGAGCCGTGCCGCGTCCCTGCCGCTGGGGATGTGAGAGGCTGGGCCAGGCCAGGCCCAGTACTGGGGCTGACCGGAGGGCGCGGCTCCCACTCTGCGGGCGGAGAGCAGTCCCGGCGCGTCCTTTGTGACACCGAGAAACAGGCACTCGGGGCTTCCTTGGCCGCTGGTGGCTCACCGTGGACTGGGAACCAGTCGGTGACTGGCTTGGGCTGGACCGGGCTCGGGAGCTGTGCCAGGAGCCTCTGAGGGCCTCCGTGGCCGGGGCAGCTTCTCACCCGCGGTGGGAGGGCCGGCGTGCTGCGGCCTGTCGGAGGGCGAGTTGTGTCCATTTCACTTTTTTGTTGGATTTTCTGGAAGGTGTTTCTTTTCCCTCTACTTTGTAATTTTATTTGATGCAGTTGAAAGATGGGCGCTTCTCTGTGTCGCCGAGTTAAAGACAGACAGGGTGGGAATAAAATAGCTTCCCAAGTCCTTAGGAAGAAATAGACTCGAAAGTGAATCTTTAAATAGCCTTAAAAACTAAGACGACTAAAGTCCTGCCCCGCCGACGGCGCGCGTCTCCGCAGCTTCAGCTACTACCCGGCGGAGAACCTCATTGAGTACAAGTGGCCGCCCGACGAGTCCGGCGAGTACTACATGCTGCAGGAGCAGGTCAGCGAGTACCTGGGCGTGACCTCCTTCAAGCGCAAGTACCCAGGTATCCGCCACGGGGCGGCCCGGGGCTGTGTAGAAGCCAGGCGGGCCGAGGAGCTTCCCGGGGAACATTGTCAACGCCGGCGGGTCGGGGCCGGGCGGCGTCGGGCGGGGGCCGGTGGGCGGGGGCCGGGGCCCGCCTTGGCTCGCCGGCCGTTTCCAGTTTTGTTTCTGACTTTGATTCTTTCAAGTCTCCTTTGTGAGACTCGAGCGTCATTTCCCTAACACCGTGAAAGACATCGCAGTCGTGAAGATTTTGACTTTTTAAAACTTTGAGGCCGTTTTTGTAAGCGTTTCAAAGTCTTACAAGTATGTAGCGGTTTACTCTTTGTAATAGTTTTTCTGTCCTTTTGTTTGGAGATTTAGAGCGACGCGATTTGTCTCATAAGGAGAAACTCTACCTGAGAGAGCTGAACGTCATCACCGAGACTCAGTGCACCCTAGGTGGGCTGGTGGCGGGGGGCACTGGGCGGTGGGAGGGGCCGGGGGGATGTCCATAAATATCCATAAATGGACGTTTATGAGGTGACGTTGGCGGAGTGTTTTCTTTCCTAAGATAGCTTATGAAATTAATGCAGATAGGTTAATTCTTTAAGTGTAAATTGTTTATTTAATTCTTGTGTGTGGTTGAGATAGAAGGGAACGTGATATTTTATGCCACTATCATCTTGCATCGTCCACAGAAATGTTGTGTGTGTTTGTCGGAATTTACATACTTTTTATTTATTTATGCTACAAGGGCTGGGGTGCAGGCCAGAGGTGTGGGGGTGAGAGGACTCCCCAGAGACAGAGTGGGGAACAGAACAGGAGAATCCACTGAGATCCACCGCTGAGGGGAGCAGCGGGGAGACAGGAGAGGTCTGCTGTGCCCTGTGGGTCATTCCCTGGCCGGGAATGGACTCAGGCCGCGGCAGTGACAGACTGAGACGGACTCTTGAGCCCCAGGGAGGCCGGGAATTTATGCTTTTTGAAATGTGTTGGTCCTTGTCTCTGAAAAGTCAGGTTTTGCTCAGTTTCTGGCTGTAGTTAGCCTCACGCTTGGCTTGCGATGCTTCGTGGGTGCGCGGTCTGGGCGCAGGCGCTCTGTCAGGCTTGAACTGGCTTCGTGACCTGCCCAGCCTGTGGCACCCAAGCCTGGTGGTTTTATAAATCGGTGATGAACAAGATGGGGGGGAGGGCCCTCCTTTCTTGCCTGCACCCCCTGGTGGTTGTCCTCAGGCAGCGTGCGCAGGGCGGCCTGTGTGTGCTGCCCAGAGTCTTGGAAGACATTTTGCTGAAAAATTGATTTCTTTGCAACTTTGGTGACCTGTTTTCAATTGCTTGAATTTATGCTGGAAATATTATTTTTTGATCATTTGTTGACTGTTGGAAAACATTTTAAGTGAAGGGTAGTTGGAAGGAAAAAACAATGTTGAGAAGCAGTTTTGTTCATTTGGCCTTCAGAGGGCCTCTGCGCTTCCCCCGTGCTCTGACAGGCCTGACGGCGCTGCGCAGCGATGAGGTGATTGACCTGATGATCAAGGAGTACCCCGCCAAGCACGCCGAGTACTCAGCCATCCTGCAAGAGCGGGAGCGCCAGCGCATCACCGACCACTACAAGGAGTACTCGGTGCGCGGAGGCCCAGCCTACCCCTGGGGGAAGGTGCCACGTCCTGCTTGACGTGGCTGCGCCTGTGGCGTTTCTATTTCAGCAAATGCAGCAGCAGAACACCCAGAAAGTCGAGGCCAGCAAAGTGCCCGAGTACATCAAGAAAGCGGCCAAGAAGGCAGCGGAATTCAACAGCAACCTGAACCGGGAGCGCATGGAGGAGCGCCGGGCCTATTTCGACCTGCAGACACACGTAGGCCCACGCCCGTCCCTCTGTCCCGCCACGTGTCCCTTCTGCCCTGGAACCTGGGATGACACGACTGATCATGCTGGGGGTGGGGGGGTGGGGGCCCTGGCTGACGCGCACGTTCTCGGCAGCTTCCATGAGCCCCGGCACCCGCTGACCCTGGCTTGCTGGAAGCATCGTGTAAGCCTGCACGCTCTGCGGTCCACCCGGGAGGCAGGGCCTGGCCTCCCCGTGCTGCGTCCGGGGGGTGCCATGGTGGCCCTGGCTGGGTGCTCTGAGTAGATGCGCAGCTGGTGTGTGTGTGGGGGGCAGCGGGGGCGGGGCCCAGCCTGGAGGGCACCTGCTGGTCCAGGGTCTCCCTGCTGTGGCTCCAGGCCGTGGGTGGGGCCTGTCCCTGGAACCGTCTGGAACCGGCCGCTTGTCCTTGTCCCACCAGGTCATCCAGGTGCCGCGGGGCCGGTTCAGGGTTCTGCCCACAGGGCGCACCAAGGTCAGCTCGTACCCCGTGGCGCTCATCCCCGGCCAGTTCCAGGAGTACTACAAAAGGTGCGCGGGGCTCACGTGGGCTTGGGCAGGGGAGGGGGCGTCTGCTGTCCCAGCCACCACCTCTGGGCCCCTTCAGGGTCACCATGCCGGGGCTAGGCCCTGCCTGCTGCCCCTTGCAGTGGATGGTGCTGGGCACCTGCAGTCGGAGGGTGGGGGCACCCTGCTGGCCTGTGCGGGGTGCAGCTCCCTGTGCCACAGTCTCGGCCGGTCCCCAGGCCGAGCCTGGGCAGGACGCGCTGCGGTTGGCGGGGCCTCTGCTGGTTCTGCTGAGAGCAGACCGGGCTTGGGCGGCTCTGATGCGCGGCTCCCATCAGGGATCAGAAATTCTCGTCTCTTATTTTCGGGCCAGAGAGGACTGGAAGTGGACGCGGGTGTCTCGGTGAAGGAGGGGCTGGCGGCAGCTGCTCCTTTAGGGAGGGTGCCTGGTGCTAGCCATGTGCCAGGCGGGCCAGGCTCTGTGCAAGGAGGCCCCAGCGCTGCCCGCCGGGTGCCCGGCAGGGCCACAACCCTCAAAGTGAGATGGGCGCTTTGCTGCTTGGCTGCGCCGGGGCCAGACGCCGTGCCCCTTCTCTGGTGGCCACAGCCCTCGTCCCCTGGTGTCTAGTCCTCCCTCTGGGTTGTCGGTCAGCGGCAGAAACGCCCCCTTGATGGGCATCGAGCGTGCGTTTCCTGTGACTGGTGCTGTGAGAAAAGTCGAGGCTTTCCCTTTCCACTCGCCGCCTGGGCCGAGGCGCGCATGCTTTCTCGCCTCTCCCCTTGGGGAGTGTCAGAGGCGGAGACGGCGGGCTGCGGCCAGGCAGCGGGTGACCCCGGCCCCACCCCAGGTATTCGCCGGACGAGCTGCGCTACTTGCCGCTGAACACGGCGCTCTACGAGCCCCCCCTGGACCCTGAGCTCCCCGCTCTGGACAGCGACGGCGACTCGGACGATGCTGAGGATGGGCGCGGCGACGAGAAGCGGAAGAGCAAGGGCGCTTCGGTGAGACGGGCTCGCCCCTGGGAGTGTCGCCCCGGCCTGCGGTGGGGGCTCCGTCGGGCTCCGCGGGAGGAGCGGGGAGGAGCGGGCCGCGCTGGCGATGGGCTTGGTGCCGCCGCGTCCCAGCTGCTGGCCAGTCGTGGCCTCGTCTGTGCCGTCCGGGCCCTGAGGCTGGGCGGCTGCTGTCGGGACGTGTTGTGTGGAGTGAGGCCCCAGCCAGGGCTGGGCAGCCCGGATGCCTGGATGCCCGGATCCCCGGACGATGGCCAGGCCGCGCTCGCCAGGCGCCCTCGAGTCCAGGGAGGCGCAGCACCGGGGCGACCTCACAGCTGCTCCAGGACGCTGTCTCGGGACAAGGGCGCGAGTCTGGGTGGCCCGGGCCGCTCACCAGGAGGGCCGGCCGGCTCCTGTGGTTGTCAGCATTTACGCGAACACGGGGTTTTACTCTGATCAGGTTTTAAGTGCAATGACGTGCTGAGTGTCAGTGGGCTGACGCGGGCAGGAAAGCATGTCGGGCCCAGCGGGGGCCCTGACCAGGGGATGGGGGGGGTCATGCTTAGAGGTTCCCTGTGTGGCCAGCGCGCCCCCCTGTGGGGCCGGCTCCCTTCTGGCAGCTTTCGCTGCCCTTGGAAGACACTTTGTTAGATTGTCTTTAATTAGAAGTTGGTAGGACTTTGGGACATTTTGAACATTCCTTGAGGTGCTCAAAACCCACCCCTAGCCCACGTGACCCCAAGGCCCTCCGTGCTCCCCCCCCGCAGGGCAGCTCCGCTGGCAGCGTGTCCGAGGGGGACGGCCTTCCGGACGGCCAGGAGGAGCCCTTCCAGGGACGACAGAGGCCCAAGGATAAGGCCGCAACGCCAAGGAAAGACGCTGCCAAGCGTTCTGTACTGTCCAAGTCAGTGCCCGGGTACAAGGTAGAAGAAAAAAGCCCCTGACTCGGCTTCCCTCCCACCCAGCCTCCCCGAGCGCCTGCTCCCGTCTCCGCGGCCGCCGCCCGCTCCCTCTCCTGGGCGGCTTTCTGTCTCTCTGGCTCTGGGCTGGCTTTTGTTTTCTGTATTTGCACAATTTTTAAGAGAATCTTTTCTGCTTTCAAGTGGTTGCAGGCAAGTATGGGTTTCTAGAATGATCTCTCAGGCTCAGGAGAGGCCAGACTTGGCTGACAGTGAAGTGCTGGGGTTGAGCTGGCCTGCAGGGCTGTGCGTGCAGTGCCTTTCATCGGGGGTTAGTCTGGGGGCTGTTGGCAGCCGACCCCGGGGCTCAGAGCCTGGGGCCCCAAGCGCGGTGAGGCGCTGGCCTGGAGCCCTTTGGTCAGCACGTTGGCCTGTTACTCCCGGCGTCGGGCCTGTGGCTGGACAGCCCCATGGCCGCCTCTGGGGCCGGCTCCTGCACCGGGAGGGAGGAGCAGTCGCTGGCAGTGGGTCTAGACGTGGTGAGAAGGCTCCTTCGTAGGGCTGAGTGTTGCAGAACCTACTTTTCGTTGTGCTTGTGCAGGTGTTGGGAGGAACATCTGGGTCAGGAGACGGGGGGTCTGCGAGTGCCCGGCCGTCCACACGCCTGGCTGGGGCTCCACCATCTTCCCCCGACGACGGCAGGAGGCCATGTGGCACCAGGGGCAGCCCCTGGGGAGCCAGAGATGCCGCCAGCCCAGTCTGCTGCGGTGCCGGCCCCTATGCTAGGCCCGTGAGTGGCCGAGCGGGCGCTTTTAGGCTGGAGGTTGACATTCGCGCGGTTGAGCTGACAGCAGCGGCCCCAGGCCAGGGTTTGGAACGCTGGCCAGGGCGCCGGGGCAGGGTTTTGGGGAGTCTGAGGACAAGGAGCTCGTGCCGCGATCGCTGGCTCAGCGCCAGGAGACCACAGGGAGTGAGTGGACAGGCGGCCGTGGTGCTCAGCCGAGGCGGGTGGCGCCCGGGGCCTCGGCAGCTCAGGTCGGGAGCCGCCGGCTTGTGGACGTCCCAGCACGGTGGGGGCATGTCTGCGCAGTCAGCCTTCCCTGGCGTCCCTGGCATGGGGCGCGGCCCCCGTGCCCCTGCTGTGGGCGGGGACAGGCGCGGGCCCACGGACTTGCCTTCCGCTGGCAGGACCGTCTCTTGGGTTACATTAACCTGCGCTTGGGCCCTGCCTGGCGCGGCTCGGGGTGAGCCAGGGCTTGGTCAGCGCCAGGTCTCCCGAGCTCCGTGTCTGTCCCAGCAGGAGAGCGAGTGCGGGGTGAGCCGTTGTTTGAACGCTGAGAGGACCGCGAGGGTGAGGTGGTAGCCTTCGGGTCAGGGCTGCCCTCGCTGCGCTCCTCGAGCTGTAGGTCAAGCGTGGGCTCTGCCCGGTGGCCGTCGGGGGCGACCGGCCCTCACGCTGCTCTGGGCCACGGTCCTGGGTGCCCGCGGTGCGCCCCAGGACTCCGTGCAGGCCCCGCCCCTGCCTGTCCGTCCCTCTTTTCATGAAGAGGGTGAGGAGGCCTCTGAGTGGTCTCGGAGGACTGTGCGGTGTTGAGCTTAGTGCCCCCTGAGGCCTCTTGGCGCCCCCATCATGTGCTCGACGTGCGCTGCGGCCGTCGTAGGACGTGGACACTCCAGAGCGTGACCCTTCACCTTGTTCTGCTCCTCTTGACTTCTGTCAGGGCCCACGGGGACCTCCCGCAGGTCCGCCGCCCTGGGTCCTCGGGCGCCAGCGCTGCTGTGCGGTGGGACACGCGGGCGGGCCGAGGCGCTTCCTGCCAGGGCCTGAGCGGGGCCGCGGCGCCAGCGGCTGGGGCTCGGGTCACAGGCGCGCTGGGCCCAGCGGCCGCGGGGGCAGGGGCGGGGCAGGGGCGCCCGCGAGCGCACGTAGACTAGCTCCCGGCGGAGTTCCTTCTGTATGTTTAACCTCCGTGATATTTATTATTTTGTAGAGACATTTGTGATTGTTTAGAGTTACTGTTTTTATTATATTTATGTATAAGGTTGACTTTTTTAAATAAATAAGCCAAAAATTATTTTTGAACGCCTCTGTCATCTTTTGCAAAGAAAGATACTTCAAAAATAAAAGCCTTAAGGAATTCAGAACAAATTGCTTAGGCCTGACGGTCACGCAGGTGGCAGCAAGACGTTTCGGGGCTGGGACTCGATGTGCCGCGTCGGACTTGGGTCGGTTTCCGGTTCAGTCGCTCAGGCGAGGGAAGCGGCAGGTGCCTTTGCTGGGTTGGAATAAAATAGAAAAATGTCATCCATCTATTCAAAATAAATGGTCCCGGTGCCGATGCGTGTGCACCCCGGCCGCCCCCTGGCTGCCGGCGCTCCCTCTGGGCACCCGCTGAGTGGGGCCGAGGGGCCGGGCCCGAGCGACCGCCCCACACGCTCGGGGCTGTGCGCACGGACGCCCGCGCGTCCTTCCTCCCGCCGGCCTTGGGTGCAGTGGCCCTCTCTTCCTTCGTCCTTTTCTGTGTGCCGCTACGTATTTTTTAAGGCCCAGATACCTTGGCTGGGTGGTGCGTTTTTAATCGGAACCGTGAACGGTGCTTGGCGGGTAGGATGCGGCGTGTTTCAAGCGGGCGCTTCTCCCTTGTCTGAGATCCCACTCCCGCGGCTGGCATCTCCCGGCGGCCGCTGCTCTCGGGCGGGCTTCCCTTGCTCTGCGGCGTGCAGCGGGCACCGCACTGCCTTCGTGCAGGAATCCGCTTTACAGATGTTGCCTGGTGTTTTTTTTACTTAGGTTTTATAGATTTGGTTTTACCACTTTGGAGAAACACCAGTTTTTAAACAAAACCAGTGGGCACGGTGTTTAAAACCGAGTCTTTCATAATAAGCCTGGCTCCAGGCGGCGGCCTTGGCGCTCCCTCTCCAGGCCGAGGGGCCCCTCCGGCCCATCCCAGGGCCCTGTTGTGGGGGAGGCCCACTGCCTTTGACCCTCTCCTGAGGCCGCCCTCGGAATTGTGAAGGGAAGCCCCAGGCCCTAGTCAGTAGCCCCTGTCATGTCGAAGGCAGCCTCATGGGCTGTCTTTCCAAAAGGTCCTCCTGTAAGCGATCGCAAGTTGCTGGGCCGTGCAGTGTCAGAATTCCTTTTGAACCCACAGTAAGTTCTTCTGGCATGATTTTATAGCCCTCTTCTACCCTTCCAGCCAAAGGCCATTCCAAATGCTATATGTGGAATTTGTCTGAAGGGTAAGGAGTCCAACAAGAAAGGAAAGGCTGAGCCCCTTATACACTGCTCCCAGTGTGACAACAGCGGTGAGTACGGCTTCTCCCCGCCCTCTGTCGCTTCGAGCACTGGGGTTTTACCCAGACCTGAACCCAAGCCGCACGCCCACAGCGTGGCTCGCGAGGCCCGGGCGGCCGCGTGCGCGTCTACGCTGCACCTTCGTTTCTCTCTGGCCCCCAGGCAGGCGGCCACTCTTGAGGAACGCTGAAGCGAGCTAGCACTCTATTATGCCCTGTTAAGCCAAACGTTGTGTGAAGTACTAACACTGGTTTTGATTTAGGCCACCCTTCTTGCCTGGACATGACCATGGAGCTGGTGTCCATGATTAAGACCTACCCATGGCAGTGTATGGAGTGTAAGACTTGCATTATATGTGGACAGCCCCACCACGAAGAGGAGATGATGTTCTGTGATGTGTGTGACAGAGGTTATCATACTTTTTGTGTGGGCCTTGGTGCTCTTCCGTCAGGTAAAGATTAAAAGGAGGAGGGACATTATCTCTGAGTGATGGGACTGTACCAGCACTTTTTTTAAGGCTGCAGAAACAACGTAATGACCCAAGGGCCAGTAGGTCCCTCGTGGTCACGGAAGTGGCCACAGCTGCGCTCACAGATCATCAGCCCAACCACAGGACAGATGGGGTGTCAGAGTGTCCAGTCAGCTGTGGAGGCAGAACTCACTGTCCAGACAGGCCAGTGTTTTCTACTCAAGCAGCAACAGCATCAACTTGTTTCAAAGCCTGAATTTTATTTCAATACATCAGTGTAGAAACTTAACAAAACGACTGCTCTGCCTTTATACATAGTAAATCGGATTTCAGTATTCGAGGCCAACGAGGATTCTAGATAACTTCAGAATAAACGTAACTGAGTCAGTCACCGTAGTAGGACTATAACATTACACAGAAAATTGTGTAATTTTAGGACTTCTTGCATAGTTAACACTGCGAAATAGTCTATAAATAATGCCTAGAGCTTCTGGTAATCATTAAGCAGCAGCTTCAGTGATAGAAGTTCTGTAGCGCCTCGCCTGAGTGCAGGTCTGCGTGGCGCTGGCGGGCGCCCTGGACGCAGCTCCAGCGAGCAGCGGGGGGAAAAGCTGCTCTGACGTGGCTCAGTTTCACAAAGGGTTAGAGTCGCTTTCCACAAGGCCCGAGTCTAACTAACGCGGCACCTCTGCCCCGGCCCCCCTCGCACTGCACTTCAGGGATTCCACAGTGACTCGCGGGAATTTATTTCTCCTTGTCCAGGAGCCCACCAGTGTCACTCCAGAGAGGAGCATTGTGAGAACTGAGCAAGGAGATAAATGGGTTTAAGAATTCAGTCCTGATAAAACCAAGTGTCGTTCTGTATTAACTAGCGATTTTTCTCCTAGGTCGCTGGATTTGTGACTGTTGTCAGCGAGCCCCCCCAACACCCAGGAAAGTGGGCAGAAGGGGGAAAAACAGCAAAGAGGGATAAAATAGTTTTCTGATCCCAATATTGTAATACGCATTTAAATGAAATATTTGGTGCCAGTTTATTTACAACATTCTCATTTTTATGCAATAAAGAATTTTTGAAATTAACTGTGTGCCGAAAAGCTGCAAGTTGATTTATTTGTTACAAGCTCCCCTTCCCCGGAGCCCAGGCCGGGCGCTGCAGAAGCCCCTGGAAACGTCCGGCCCCTGGATTGGAAAGAGGCGCCTGTCCCCTCGGCGGCCGCCGCGGGCTCGGCAGCGCTGTGGTCTCCTGCGCGTGGGGCTCCGGCGTCCGGGGCTGGAAGCGCCGCTCGCTGAGTCTGCAGCCCCAGACGCTCTGTCGCGGGGGCCGTGGGCCGGGGCCGGAGGCCGAAGTCCCGCCCGCGCCCGCCTCGACGGCGCCGCCGGAGGCCCCGGGGCCGCCTCAGAAGAGGATCTCCAGCACCAGCTTCAGCAGGCCGATGAGCACGGCCCAGAGCACCGACTCCTCCTCGGGCGCCGCCTCCTCGGGCGCGCGGGCGGGCGGGCCGGGGGCGCCGGCGGGCGGCGCGGGCGCGGCGGGCGCGTGCGGCTCGGGGCTGCGGTCGTGGTAGACGCGCATCTCGAACTCGCTCTCCTGGTGCGACGGGTGCCCGTAGACGCCGATGCCCACGGGCCGGCGGAAGTGGCCGGGGATGGCCACGGCGTCGGGGCCGCAGGTGGCCGACTGCAGCGCGTAGTCGTCGAAGCTGGGGTGCAGCGTGCTGTCGGACACGTACAGGTCGGCGTCGCCGCGCAGGCTGCGCATGCGCAGCACCACGCGGCCCTCGTGGCTCAGGCGCAGGTAGCTGTAGTTGCCCGCGCCCACGCGGCCCTGCACCACGTGCAGCAGCGCCCACTCGGCCGGGGCCTCGTCCTCGTCGTCCGCGCCGGCGGCGGCGCCCGGGCCGCGCGCCCACAGCAGCGCGAGCAGCAGCAGCAGCGGCCGGGGCGCGGCCATGGCGGCGGGCGCGGCGGCTCGCGGGGCTCGCGCGGGCGGGCCGCCCCCCGCTCTCGAGGCGCTCGCTCCGGCGCCGCGCCGGGGCGTCCGGGCCGGGCCGGGCGGCTGCGCCGGGGGAGCCGGAAGTCGGGCGGCGCGGGCGTGACGTGGCGGAAGCAGGGCGCGTCCCGGGGCGGGGCTCCAGCTCTCGCGAGACGTCGAGGGGGCGGGGCTGAGCGGCGGCGGTTGGTCACCATGGCGACCGGGGCGGGGCTCGACCGGGCGCTCGGGAGACGCGGGCCCGGGGGGGCGGGGGGAGGCGGCCGCTCGCCGTCCTGCGTCCCGAGCCGGCCCAGCGCCCAGGTGAGAGGGGGCGGCGCGTCGCACCCGCCCCGCTCCCGCCTGCCCGGCCCTGCCCGCCCCTCCCTGCCCTCACCCCAACCCCCGGGGCGCACCCGGCCCAGGGGTGCCGGCCCTGCCCGCCCCGTCCTGCCCTCACCTGCCCCCTGGGGCGCACCCGGCCCAAACTCACCGGCCCTGCCCGCCCTGTCCTGCCCTCACCCGCCCCCTGGGGCGCACCCGGCCTGGGGTGCCGGCCCTGCCCGCCCCGGCCCTGCCCGCCCCGTCCTGCCCTAACCGCCCCCTGGGGCGCACCCGGCCCAAACTCACCGGCCCTGCCCGCCCCGTCCTGCCCTCACCCGCCCCCCGGGGTGCACCCGGCCCAGGGGTGCCGGCGCTGCCCGCCCCGTCCTGTCCTCACCCCGCCCCAACCTCACTGGCCCTGCCCGCCCCGTCCTGTCCTCACCCCAACCCCCGGAGTGCACCCGGCCCAAACTCACTGGCCCTGCCCGCCCCGTCCTGCCCTCACCCTCCGGGGTGCACCTGGCCTGAGCGGGGCGCCGGCCGCCACAGGTCCCTCAGGCCCAGGGAGGGGCGGCCGTCCCGGGCTGGGCATGGTCACCGGTGCATAGGAGCGCTGGGGACGCGCCCGCACAGGCCGTCTTTACACCGAGGACGTGTTTCACTCTGGAAACACCCCCTCGTGGAAATGGGTAGGGTGGAAACACTGAAACCAGAGCCCGGCCTCGTGCCCCTTTCTCTGTGCCCGAGCGCTGCCAGGCCTGCAATCCGGGCTGCCCGGAACCCGAAGGCGGCGCTGCCCGGCTGCAGGCAGCGTCTCCCGCCCGGCTCGTTTGAGGTCCGTAGTTTTCTTGGGTTGGATTAGCTGAGCCTGGAGAGGCTGGATCCTGCTGTTCAGGGCCCTGGCCAGGGTGGGGCCGGCAAAGCCACCTCAGCATCTCCTGCAAGAAGTGTCTGCTTACCTGTGCGACGCCCCGCCCGGGCCGTCTCGGACTGGCGTTGCCCATTTGTCTCCCCGCAGAAGCAGAGCAGCCTGATAGGAGCCCGTGTTCTTTATGTGGAGGGACGTGGACACTCACGCTTCTGTTTTCAGTCCATGGGAAAGCAAGTGGCCTCAAGATGTCAGCGCCACGGCGGCTGTCAGACGTCAGCGATTTGTGTTTACCTGCAGTCACGGGGGCAGAGTGTGGAGTCCGTGGTTTGACAACTAAAGTCTGTGCAGTCCAGCTTTTCTCAGCCAGGGACAGAGGGTATAGATTTTGGTTTTGGCTTTGTTTTTAATTAAAGCTGCTAAATACTTTTTTAGAGGATGTAGTGGTCTGGGAGAGACCTGAAGACACAGAAGGCCCAGTGCAGGGGCTGTCTCCACCCCGGGTCAGCCGCGGCCCGGCCTGTGCCGGCCCCGCGCTCAGGACCACGGGACCAGGAAGCTCTCCTGTTCCGCCGTCGCGCACGCGGCTCTTCTGCCACCACTTCTGTTCGCCATCAGTGATGTGCAACCATGGCCGTTGGTCGCTTTCCTAAGGGAGCGCGCTCCCTGAGTGTGTCACGGTCCCAGCTCAAGAATATTCAAGAGAAAGCTCTGACTTCTCATCAGAAGGAAAAGATTCTTTCTAAAAATACACACTCATATGCACATGTACACACTCACACTCGCGCATTCACACACACACTCTCCCACGGGGGAAAGCCCGCGCAGATGCGCAGGCTCCAAACTGGTCTCCTTCCACGGAGGATAATTCTGGTTTCTTCTCATGTGGATCTTCTGGTTTTGGGCGATTGCCGCACGTGAGGTCCGTCCCCCCCCCGGGGGACAGCAAGGGCCGCGCCTGCCCTTGTCCGGTCTCATCTGCTGCAGGACGCCTGGGGGCGTCTGAGGGACAGTCCCGGTGCTGCTGCGAGGGCCGGGTGAAGCGGGGTCCCAGCAGCCGAGGCCCTCGCGGGGCTGTCACCAGGGGACAGCTCATCCTGGCCGCCCCGCCTTGGTGCAGCTGTGGGGCCGATAAAAGCCGCCAGAAAGAAGAAGAAAAATACCGGATGGCGAGAACTTTCTTGATCAGTCGTTGGTATCGCGGCCCTGTGTCCTGGCCGTGGGGGACAGTCAGCGTTTGCATTTTGAAAACAAAGACCGTGGTTGGGAGAGGCCGGAGCCGGTTCCACCTGCCCCGGCCTTCGGATGGCGCGAGAGCGACTGCCTTTGGCCTGTTTTGGTTTCTTGACACTTTAACTTTTGCCCCTGGAAGCTCAGAGAATGGTCGTGCCGTGAATTACATTAACTGAATAACTTCCGTGAGAGAGAAGCGCACTGAGGGGGTGATTCGGAGCTGCCCCGCGCCCGGGCCGGAGACCGTGGAGCCAGGAAGGCGGGGCGCAGGGCCGCCGGGCGTGGCACGTGCCTGCGATTGTCTCCGGCCTCCGCCGCGCTCTCTGCCAGCCGGGGTCCGTGGCAGTCTCGGTTTCCTGTTGTCAGGCGGTGGCCCAGGCGTCCGAGCCGGGGAGGTGCGCTGCCGTGGGAGTGCGTCTGCCCCGCGTCCTGCCGGGCCTGCCAGGCCGGCTCCGTGGCCGAGGCTCCGCTTGGGGACCTTGGCCCAGGGCTGTTCTGTTGGAAGCGGGGCGCCGTAGGCCTTGCGAGGAGCCCCGCCCCAGTCACCCCAGGAGCGGCAGGGAGGGGCCGCCTCGTCTGAGCCCCCATCCCGCCCCTCTGTGTTTTTGCTTCAAAGATGGAGGGAGCCCCGCCGGCGGCCTGCGAGGACCGGGTGCGGCAGCGCTGGGCGGCCTCCCCCGGGGTGCCCGCGCCCCATGTGCAGCTGGCCTGCGGCCCGCGCCTCTGCGCCTTCCCGCTGGCCGGGAACCAGCTCTGTGTCCGCAGCACCGGGGGCCCCGCCTGCCAGGTAAGGAGCCCGGCCGTCCGCCCCGCCGCCCCGCGCCCGCCGGAGCCAGCCCCAGCTCGGGGGTGGGGGGGGGGCGGGAGCGAATCACGTGTTCCTTTCAGCTCAGGTTCTGGAGAACGACGTTTCGGGAATCTGTTTTTTCTTCTTTTTTTCTGCCTGTTTGCTCCCCACTGTCCCCGGCGAGTCCTCTCGCCCCCGCCCCTCTGGCCTCACCCCCGTTTCTCTGTGCCACAAAACAAGTAAGTAAATAAATAAAATAAAATTTTTTCACCACTAAAGACATGAGCAGGAAAAGTTGGTACTTTTCTGGATTCTCCGGTAAATCACCTGCAGGAGCCCGGGTCTCGCCCGCGGTGCTCGGCGCTGCCCGTCGTCGGCGCTGCCTTCCGCTTCTCGGTCCCACGGGGCTGTCCAGGCCTCCTCACCCCCCGGCCGCTGCTCCCGCAGTCAGTCAGGCCGGGTGCGCCTCACTCGCCGGCGCTGCTGCCTGCGGGCGCTCGGCCGGTCCCGGGGGCGGCGCGGCCCTGGGCACCGCGGGGCTCGCGGCCTGCATTTCTCCCGGGCTGAGCGCAGGCCTCGTGCCCCGGGTTCCTCGCGGGTGGCGCGGGCTCAGGGCTTCGCCTCCTGCCCGCTCCCGGCTCAGCCCCGCGGCCCAGCGGGTGTCCGCCTGTCGCAGCCCAGCCTGGAGAAACCCAACCGTCCTGTTTTGAAGACAAGCAGATGCGCCTCGTGGGGTGACGGCGCCCCGCCCCGTGGAGTGCCTGGGCAGCGCGAGTGGCTCAGCTGGGCCCAGCCCTGACGTCCAGCGGGGCCTGCTGGGGGCCTTCCCTGCGTCTTCTCTCCTTGGCCTTCTGTCTTTCTCACGCTCTGGCGACGCGTGTCTGGCCACAGTCTCCCCGGGCCGTTCGGGGCAGGCGCCTGGCCAGCCGGGCTCGCTGCCCCTCTGGAAGATGCCCCATGTCGCTGCCCGCTGCCCACCTCGGCCCCGATCTCCCTTCTCCTGCCACACGCCCGGCCGGAGCCCACGCCCCGCGTCCCCGCTCCTGCCAGGCCTGCGGCTCCTCCCCCACACCACCTCTCCTGCTGCCCCGTCCCCTGGGTGGTCCACCGGCCTGCCCCTCCACCTCCCACCTGCGCTGGCCTCGGGTGCCTGAGGTGCTGCTGCCTCCCTGTGGTCGCCCCACCCCACCCCATCCTGCGCCCCGGTGCTGCTGAGATGCCATCGCGGCCCACGGCCCCTGGTCCTTTTCCCGCTGGCCCTGGACCCCAGGGCGGCCAGCCGCAGGCCAGCACCTCGCCCTCTCCGGTCGCTGGACGCCCAGCACAGCGGCCCCCGCCAGCAGGGAGACCCCGTGTCCCAGGGTGCCCGGCGCGGCTGTGGGCACTGACGGCCGCCAGGGGGAGGCCTCGCAGCACAGCAGGGCGAGGCACATGGACTGGCCCACGCGGGCACAGCTGCTGCCCCTCAGCGCCGCCTGACAGCTGCCGTGCCGGCTTGGTTTTCAGCCTCTGATCCTGAGCGGCCACCACCAGCCCGTCACCGCCCTGGCCTTCGGGAACGTGGCCACCCCGCCGCTCCTCTGCTCCGCCTCCCGGGACCGGGTGCTGACGTGGGACCTGGACGGCTGCCGGGAGCAGGCGCGGCAAGGTGCGGTGGGCCACGTCCGCGGGCGGGCAGCGGCCGCTCGGCCCACGGGGCAGGGTTCTGGGCCCGTCCTGACCCGCTAACCTGGAGCTGGGGCTGCGGGAGCCGTGCGTGTGTGTGTGTGTGTGTGTGTGTGTGTGTGTGTCCTGGGGGTCGCGCCGAGGCTCGGACGTGCCCACGGCCCCTTGCAGGCCCGGAGGAGGGTGGCACCCGCGGTCTGTCCGCCCCAGCACAGGCCGCCTCCCACGGCCAAACGTCGGGGGTTGAGAGCCCTGCAGCGCTCACCCGGGGGGTGGCTGGGCAGTGTCTCCTGACCCCACTCCTGCCCGGCCGGGCGGACGGCCGCTGACGGCCGCCACTTCACAGGGCTGGCTCCGCAGGGGACAGTCCAGGGCTCGCTTGTGGGACACGTGCGCTTCCTGAGCTGCAGCCCTGACGACCGTGCCCTTGCCGTGTGCACAGGGGCCCGGGTGCTCGTGCTGGACCTGCGGGTGAGTGGACACTGCGGCCGGGGGCCGGGGGAGCGCTGCACGGAGGGGCGCTGTGGGGGGAGGAGCTTTCCGGCTGAGGCGAGGGCCGGGGCCAGGCGGCTGTCGGGAGCGGTCAGTGGCGCTGTGCCTCCTGGGGACGGAGGCGGGCGCGTGTGGTGTGGCCTGGGCCTGGTGTCACCGGCCCTCTGGTGTCGACTCACGCCTGACAGCTGCATCCAGTCGAGTTTGCCAGAGGACTGAGGGCCGGGGTCACGCTCCCTGCGCCTTTCTCGCGTGGGGCTTGAAGGCTGTTGGGTGAAGGCGACACGGGCGCCCTCCGGGCCTCAGGCCGGGCACTGTCCTCCGGGGCCTGGGCCCCAAGGGCCTGGGACCAGCTGGGCAGGACCCCGGGGGCAGCACCCCAGTGGGTGGCGGGGTGGGGGGTGGGGCCGCAGGGCGTGGGTGGGTGGAGGTGGCCGTGGCCGCGGACCTGGGCCCTGTCCCGTGTTGCGCCGGCAGCACCCTCGGGTGAGGACGCGGGCGTGCAGCAGCCCACAGTGCAGGACGCTGCTGAGCCAGCGCGGCCCTGGCCTGTGCCGGGGACGGACACCAGAACTGCTCTGCCAGCTGCGGTCTCAGGGCCCGAGTCCCCTCCAGGCCCTTCTCCGCGGATGACTCGGCGTCGAGACGGAAATCAGCCCCAGCCCCGGCCGTGGTTCAGTCTTATCAAGGCGTCCCCTGATCAGCTGCTGCGGCCCCTTGTCTTCCATTGGGCAATGCCCCCTCCCCCCCCTGGCCACACCTGGTGAGGCCCACCTTCCTGGGCGCCCCGGCTTTCGGCTCCTGATCGATTTTGAAAAGCACCTGCAGGGTGGGCGCCTGTGACTGGCCGGGCAGTTCTGAGCCTGCGCAGGAACGCAGAGCACAGGGGGCAGAAACGGTGGTCGGGCAGGCTGGTTAGGGTCAGCAGACCACACGGGGTCCAGGCAGCAGAGGCCAGGAAGCGGGGCAGCAGTTGGGGGGAGGGACTCTGGGCTCTGCTGAGCCCTGCAGGTGCCTGGACTGCCCAGGCCGCCGGACCTCTGGACTTAGCTTGAGGCGTCCGAGGGGCCCAGCCTGGGCTCATGCTGACGGGCCGCGGTGCTGGGTCTGCCGCGTCAGCCAGAACACATGGTCACTGGCGCCGTCCCGGATCCCCTAGGGGCAGTCGGCACCGCTGGAGCTGGAGGGCCACCTGGGCCCAGTGACCGCAGCTGAGTTCTGTCCTTGGCAGGCCGGTGTGGTCATCTCAGTGTCTGAGGACAGGACCTTCAAGGTGAGGGCGCTGGGTCCTAGCCTGGCACAGGGGTCGGCCCAGGCCCCTGCTGGCCTGTGGGGTCAGCGGTGGGCACAGCAAGTGTCCATCTAGGCCCGAAGGCACTGACTAATGTCCCGGTTGCCCTGGGGCCCAGAGCAGAAGAACCGTGTCCAGTACCAGAGGGTTGGGTCAGAGCAACATCGGGCTGAAGGAGAAAATCAATTAAAATGCAACTCGCTCTGCCCCCGGCCCCAGTGGCCAGTGCGATGGCGGGTCCTGCGGGCGAGGGGTGTGGGCGGGAGCAGGGAGGACGGCGGCGGCCTCACCCACGTCCACAGACGTGGCAACAGGTCCCTTGTGGTGCAGACGCCCCGGCCGACTGCTGGTGGCTGCTGTCGGCCCCTGTCCCCGCCCTGGGCCCATCCCCCCCCTCCGAGCCCCAGGCCCCCCAGTGGCCCCGGGTGGCCCCGGCCCCCCGCCCTGCCCCGCCCCAGAGCCTAGCGCCCCGCTGAGCCCGCTTTGCCCATCATGGGTGCCCCCCGGCTGTGGGGTCGCACCCTGGTGGCCTGCAATACCCCTTGCCGGTTCTTTCCACACGACCCTCGTCCTGCACCGGCGTCCCCAGCCTGTGGCTGTCGGCGGCGAGCACCACTGGCCCCCCTAGGGCTCCCTAGGGGCTCCCGCTGCCAGGCTGGGCCGGGCCCCTCCTCTGAGGCCGCTGTCGCCCGCAGGTGTGGGACCTCGGCGCGGGGGCGCTGCTGTACAGCTCCCCGGTGCTCACGGGTGAGTGGGCGTCACGAAGCTCGGCTTTGCTGCCCCGGCGCGCCGGGTCAGGGGCGGCTCAGGCCTGCGGAGTGGGCGGCGCTAAGGGGGGCTGCCCCACAGGGTCCCCCCAACGGGCGGTGTGGGTGACGGGAAGGGGAGTGCCCGGGCCCAGGCCGCCCGGTGAGGCCGCCCAGCCCGAGCCCAAGGCGGAGCAGTCCGGGGAGGCTGCTCCGGGCCGGCTGGGCCTCCGCGGGCGCTGGGGGACGGGGCGCCGGCCTGGGTAAGCGCACAATGGGCCGTGGCCGATGCTGTGCCCCCAAGACCCCCTACGCCCCCCATCTTCCGCTGTCGGCTCCTCAAGGCTGGGCTCAGCGCCCCAGCTGGGCAGCGCGGCCCGTGAAGTTGCGGTTCCGAGCAGGAGGCGGCCCGCGGCTGCCCCTCTGGGCCCGGGTCGCCCCGAGCACGGCTGGGTCCCGGCGGGGAGCGGGGTCAGGGCCCCCAAGTCGCGCCCCCACGGCTCTGCGGCGGCACCCCCAGGGCGGGGCTGAGGCTGGACGCGCCCCCGCAGCACACCCCCTGCTGAGCGCCCTGGCCGACGCGGGGTCCGAGCAGCTGGTCGTGGGCAGCACCGAGGGCCAGGTGAGCGCGTCCCTCCAGCCTGCGGGGGGGGGCCTCCCTGCGGCCTCCTCCCGGCCCCCCCTGAGGCCTGCCGGTGCGCTCTGCCCAGCTCTGGGTCTTCAGCCTGGCGGAGGGAAGGCGCTACCGCCGCGTGGCGCGCGTGGACCTGCCCACGGAGCGCACGCGGTTCCTTGCCAGGAGCGCGCTGGCCAGGCCGGGCCCTGCTGGCCCGGCGACCCCGCCCCCGCGGCTGCCCGGGGCCACCCCCGAGGTGAGGTGGGGTGGGCGGCCGGCGCGGTGGGGCTTGGGGGGGTGGGGGCGCACCCGTGCTCCCCGCGGCTTGGCCTTGGGGTGATCAGCGGCGGGGCTTGGGGTGCTGAGCAGGCAGGCCTCGACCCATCACAGCCCCGGCCCCCGGCCGCCCCTCCCCAGAGGCCCTCCCAGACTGGGCCCTGGCAGCTTGCCCTCCCCTGCCGGGACCCTCCTGCAGGCCATGCAGCCCGCTCCGGCCCGCCCCCGGCTGGGAGCTTTGCCTTCAGCTGGTTTGTTTTCCTAAGGGCGGCTCAAGCTCCTGCTCGTCAGGCGGGTCAGGAGCCGCCCTTCCAGGGCCTGGTTTTCCCCCGGGCCCCTGGCAGTCCTCGCCCCTGGCGCTGGAGTGGACCCTCCCGGGAGACAGCGAGACCCTTTGGCCGGGGCCCCCTCATCCCGAGGCGCTGGCAGGGGCGCAGCGAAGCCTGACCCGGGCGGTCCCGGAGTTCTCCTGGTGACGCAGGGTCCCCCAGCATCCGCCCTCCATGGTTGTCACCGGACTGGGCGGATCATTTCAACGTTGCTTCTCAGACTATGGACGATTCTGTTCCCTGGCAGGGGGTCGGTGTCCCTCTGCAGCCCCGCCGGAGAAGGGGGGGGCGCGTGGAGGCCACGTATCCGGTGCTGAGCCTGGCACCCTTCATGCCACCTCCACCCAGGTAGGCCCCCAGGTGCACCCCCAGGTGGGCCCCCACAGGTGTGCTTCCCACCAGGTGCAGCACCCCCTTACTCCCCCCAGGTGGCCCCCACAGGTGCAGTGCCCCCACCCTCCAGGTGGGCCACCCAGGTGTGCTGCGGCCAGGTGAGCCCACCGCGCGGCGCCCAGTCTCCCGGCAGGTTCTTTTCCCAGGACGCCTCAGATGCTCTGGGTCCCTGCTGTGTTTGACGCCAGCCTGCGCAGGGCGAGGGGGGCCAGTTGCCCTCACATCTATTAATCAAGGAAACAAGATCATCTCAATCCCCGCTCCCCCAGCCTGGGCAGCTCTTGGCGACCCGAGGGCCAGAGGGGCCACGCGGCCACGTCGGGGGGAGGGAGGGACCCCGCGGGCGTCGGGCAGGCGGGAGGCCGCAGTCCCAGCGCACGGGCCCCTGTGCCTGTCTTGGGGTGCGGCCAGCGGCTCCCCCCCACGCAGCCCTTCCTGGAGCGCCAGCTGCGCGTGGGTCGGCAGCGCCACGGCCGTGTTCCTGCTCAACCTGGCGAACTTCGAGCTGGAGGCGGTCCTCCCTTACACGGGTGAGGGTTTGCGGGCGGCGCCTTCGCTGCCGGCCGGGGGGCCGCTGTGTGTGTGTGGGGGGGTCAGTTTGAGGGCGGACACCCCTGGCCAGGAGCCGCTGGGCCCCAGGACACTGTCCCAGCTGCCTGACCCCGGGGGGCTTCCCAGGGCCGCTGGCCTCCCGGCCTGTCTGCCTCTGGTCCCGCACGCTCGGGTCCCCTGTGCTGCTGGGACGGCCGGCGCCCGCCGTGTCCTCTACCCACGGCGTGTGGGGCGCTCGGGCGCGCCCTGCCCGGACACCCTCGCCAGGCCTGGTTTCCTGCTCCTGCTTCTGTCCTCCCAAGGCTGGAGGTGCTGGCCACCCCTGCCAGGAAGGAGGGGCTCCCTCCACCCCCCCGCTGACCTGGGAAGCTGGGCGGACCTTTCTCAGCTGCTGCCCTCCGCCACCCCTCCCCTGCCCCTTGCTGGCCGGCTGGTCCCCGCTGGCCGGGGTGGAAGCCTGCGCCTCCCCCATGAGGGCCAGGCGGGCGACAGTGGGTGTGTGGTGGGCGCCCGGGCATGTGGCGGGCGCCGCCGTGAGTGCCCTGACCCTGGCGCTGGCCTCTGCCGAAAACGCAGACTCCAGGGGCCTCGGCATCCCAGTCGCCGGATCGTGTGCCGTGACCGGCGAGGGCAGGCCTGGCGAGGTAGTCCCGGCCCGGCCCTGCGCGGCGGCCGCGGCGGGAGGAGAGCGGCGGGGGGCTGGGGTGGAGGGTGGTGGGCGAGCGGCTGCCCTCCCCCCGCTCCCCCCCACCCGCCCCGCTTTGCCCCCACCTACGCCCCCCCCCCAGCCCCGCTGCCTGCCCGCCCACCCACGCCCCCTCCAGGCCCTCTGCCTGCTCAGTGGTCTGCTCGGGCCCGACGTGCGCCTGCTCGAGGTCCGCCTGGCGGCTGCGGGGGCCCACCCGAGAGCCGGCGCGCCGGGGCCGCTGTGTGTGCTGGCGAGGTACGGCCTCCGGGGCGGGCGCAGGGCTGGGGCCTCGGGGTGCTGCTGAGCCAAGAAGTAGAGTCAGACTTGGGGAGGGAGTCGCCGGCCCCGGCGCAGGAAGGCGCGGCTGCCCCGAGCCGGGCGTGGTCGGTGTGGGGTGGTCCGTCGTGGGCCGGCGCGGCCTGCGCACCCCACCCCTGCCCGCGGTGGAATAAACTCTGAGGTGTTGGGGTGGGAGGGGACCCGGCCCCCAAACCTGCCGCCCTCGGGGCCCTGCGCCCGCCGGGGACAGGCGGCTCTGGGGCTGCGTCGGCAGCGGGGACGCCGGAGGAGGCGAGAGAGAGCGGGGTCGGGGGAGTGTCCGCGACCCCCAGAGTCGCCGTCCCCTGCGGCCGGGCGGGTCGGCCCCGGGCAGGACGCCGAGGCCCCACAGCCGCCCGGCCTGAGGCCCCTGCTGGGGACCCCCGACGGGGCAGGGCGGGCGGGCCCGGGGGCCGGCGCGGAATCCAACCCCAGGCACGGCCAAGGCCGCCCTTGCCAGCCTCCCCTCGGGCTCTCGCCGCGTCCGTCTCTGCCGCGCGTCCCTTCCGGGCCCCTCGTCCCCCGCGCAGGCCCAGGGCCCAGAGGCCCGCGCGGCTGCTCCTGCCGCCTCCCGCTCCCGCCGCCTCCCCCCGCTGCCGGCTCCCCTCCTTGGGGCAGGGACCCGCGGGACGGCGTCTGCGGCGGCCCCGGCCCTCACGGCCGTCTCTGCGTCTGTTCCAGCTCGGCTGTGCCCGCCACCTCCCCGCTGTATTCCGGAACAGCCCGGGGGCGGAGGCCCCAGCCGGCCGGCCGGAAGCCCCCAGGTGGGTCCAAGTGTGCTGGGCGCCTGGCCCCGGGGGCTGGGGGCTCTGGCCAGTGTGGGCAGCGGGCCGTGGCGGGGTCGCTAGCTGTTCGGGCAGGTGGATAAGGGGGTCCCGGAGCCTCGCTGGGTTTTCCAGGCCTTGATGCGCTCGGGGCGGGCACAGGGGTGAGCGGGGGGCGGGGGGCAGGCGAGGGTGTCTTTGTTCTTCCCCTGGGCGCTACCCCGCGTGACCCCGCGTGACCCCATATCCTGCCTCTTCTGCCCGCTCGTCCTCCCGTCGCTGCCCGTCCAGCCGCCTGCAGGCCAGGCGTGCCCGCGCCACCTCGGGGTCCGCTGTCGGGCCGGCGCCCCGGCGTCCACACCTTCAAGGCCGCAGGGACGGCCACGGAGGCCCGGTCAGCCCCACTGGCCCTGCCCGCTCACGGGGCCCCACGCCTCTCTGGGGTGGGCCGCGGCTTTGCTCGCGTGGCGCGTCGTTCCCCAGCATCTGAGAACGCGGGCGGCTCCGGCGGCTCCTGGCGCGCGCTCAGCAGCTGCTCCTCATGCAAATGTCCGCGGCGCCGCCGGCCGCAGGTCACTGAGGGCCGGGCCGGCCTCCGCCTCCGGCAGAGCTCGGGGCCTGGCTGCCTTTGAGAAAGGATTCTCAGCCGCGCTCAGGCATCCGGCGCTTTGCCCTGTGCGCTCCCGCGCCGGCGAGGCCGCCCCCCGGCCCGCCCGCCGCCCCCCAGGGCTCCCTCCCGTGGCTTACTCGAAGCAGCGTCCGTCCTCTGAGCCTCAGCCACACTGTCCTGTAGGTTCGCTGGTGGGAGGGGCTGGGTCCCTGCAGCGAGGCCGGGCACCGGGGGCAGCCCCAGCGGCAGGCGGCCCTGGCATGGGGCCCACGTTCTCCAGTGGGTTTTTCTGTGCTTCGGCCAAGGGGCCCCGCCCCGTCCATTACCTTCTGTCACCGCTTTTCGCAGCCGTCTGGAGGGGTGTGCAGGACCAGCCGCTGGTCTTCCACAGCCAGGTCCGCTCCTCGGGGTATGCGGCGGCCCCCCCGTGAGTACTGGCTGGTGGGGGCAGCAGCGGGGCGGGGGCGGGAGCAGCGGGGCCCTCTGCTCGGCCTTGGCTCTGCCGACCTCAGGAAGGGCCCTGGGTTGAGGGCCGTGGGGGCGGCCGTGCGGCTCAGCCCCGAGGGCCCTTCAGGGCGGTACTGGGTGGTGCAGAGGGTCAGGACGGGGGCTGGTGAATGGGGGGCGGGGCCCCGAGAGCTGGTCCTTCTGGAGCCCGTGTCCCACCCGCGTGGCCTGGCCTCCTCCTGGGGCCCGCAGGGCAGCGCTGTTCACGCCCAGGACCAACCCCAGGAGCGGAGGCGCGGGGCCCCCCAGGCCCAGGGGCAGTCGCCCGCGGAGCACTGCGCGTCTGGATGTGAGGTGGGTCGCCGGGCCTCCAGGTGCGCGCAGGCGTGTGGGCGGTTGTGCACAGGTGCGTGCCCAGGGGTGCACGTTGCTCAGCCACTCTGGTTCAGCCCACACTCTCAGCACAGCCATGGGGCCGCCTGCGTGGGGCTCGCTCAGCCTGGGTGTTGGGGGAGCCGCCCTGCATCTGCGCGGAGGTGGGGCCCACACGCCGCCCGGCCCAGCTTCCCGGTGCTGTCCGGGAGCCTGCAGGGCGGTCGTCTCCCCATCGAGGCTCACGGTGTGCAGCCCGAGGGGCGGGGCGGGCAGCGGCTCCCTCGGGCGGCGTGCACGGCCATCGGGTCGCGGGAACGAGCACGTTTGCCGCTGGGTGACGTCCCGGCCGCACCGGGCCCTCGGTCTGTGGTGGTCCTTGGCTCAGGGAGTGCCCGATGGGCGCAGGAGGCGAGACCCCCCTACGCCTGCCGTCTCGCCCCCCGCCTCATTTAGCAGCCTCCGCGTTCACTCTCTCTGGTCTTCCTCGAAGCCCAGACTGGCCTCCGGACAGCGGCCTGCCCACCAGGCTCCGCCAGCAGCGCCCCGCCGCAAGCAGCCGCGCAGCCGTGTGCTGCGTCCAGTACTCAGGTACTGCCGGCCCCGCCGGGTCCGCTTCTTGGCCGTCCCGTAGCTGGACCCGAAGGCACAGGCACCTGAGGTCATGTGCCCCGCGGGGGTCTGGTCCGGGGGCGGCCGGCCCCTGTGGCCGTGGCTAGGGTGTCCGGAGGGTCACCCGCCAGGCCTGTGGCCGTCTCCAGCGCAGGCCTGGCAGCAAGCGGGGGGACCCGGGTCCTGGGCCTGGTGCCGTCCTCCTGGGTCCCCGCGTGCACGGCAGGGTGTCCGGCCCATCCGCAGGCCCCTCTGCGGCCCCCGAGCGCCGTCTGGGGAGGCTTCCCGGCCCCTCGGCCCCCACTCCACCAGGTGTTCTGTGGGTCCCGGGGCCATCCCTGCCAAATCCCGCTGTTCGTGTAACTGTAGCCAAACGAGGTCTTGAATAATTTGGGGAAATCCGTGTTGTGGGGAGATCGGGGTGGGGCCGAGAGCCCCGGGTTCTGCCGAACCCCCTGCTGAGAAGAACCCCGGGGGCTGCCCAGGGAGGAGTCGGGGCTCCTGCTGGAGCCCGTCTTCAAGGCTCCCTGGCAGGCAGTGGTTTGGGCCGGTCAGCACCAGGGCTGGTCGTGGGCACCGCCTTGGACACAGCACAGGCCTGGCTCTGCTGTCCTGTTCAGGGTCAGAGTGGTCCGTCTGGGCCGGCCCCATAGCGACCTGTTTGGCCCCCACACCTGCCTGCTGGGTGCAGGGGCGCAGGGGAGGGCACGGGGGAGGGGGTGGGGGCCTGCCAGTGCGGGGGGCTGGCGGGGGTGGGGGGGTTGGCGGGGGTCGGGGGGGCCCGCAGGGGCATGGGGATAGGGGGCGCCGACCTGCAGGCAGCGAGGGCTTCCCAGCGAGCCTGCCAAGCTGCGGGGGCTCGTGTGCCGAGCGCGGCGGTGCCGGCGGGCCTGGCTCCATGCCCCGTGGGCCGCCTGCCGGGGAGGACACCCAGGGCTGGGCCCCCGGTGGCAGCTCCTGGCCCCAGGCCCCGTGGGTGCAGCCGGGGCTCTGGGCCCTGGGGGCCGGCGGGCGGGGAGCAGATTCTCACCCCAGGCAGGTGTCCTGTTAGGTACGAGTTGTGTGTTTCACCTGCTGGTTTTGTGAGAGCCGCTCTGTCCACGCAGGAGACGGCCAGCGGCTGGCCTGCGGCCTGGCGAGCCACCTGGCCCTGGTCTTCAGGGCCGACCTCACGGGGACGCCCGCTGCGTGTTCCGGTAGGAGCCGTGTCCGGGGCTCATGGGCGAGGGCGTCCCGGCGGTTGTGGCCGGCTGTTCGGCTCCCCAGGCCGGCGGGTGGGACCAGGGTAGGCGGGTGGGGGCAGCGGGCACGGGCAGCGCTGAGGGCCGGGCTCTGGGGAGCGGCGCCTGCACATGGAGGCCAGGGCTGGAGGGGGCCGTGTCCGGGGCCAGTGTCCCGAGACCCCAGGCCCCCCACTGCAGGGGACCCCGGGCTGCCGGCCTCAGGCTTCGGCTCAGTAGGTATTTACCAACAAACGCAGGACACACCAGGGTCCTTCACCCGCTTTGTGCTTGTGTGAGCCGGAGGGGGCACACGGGAGGGGGGTCCACCCGGCTGGAGGGTGACCCCGGCTTTCTGCAGGGGCCGTGGTTTCTGTCCTGGGTGACGCCTAGTTAGCGGAGCCGGGCCCGGCCCCCCGCAGCGCCCGCTCCCGGCCTCGCCCTGAAGCCGGCGCTGCTTCTGTGTGGGGAGCTCCGTCGGCCTCGCCCACTGGGCACGCAGCTCACCCTCACCCTCCCAGCACTGGGCACCCCACCTGGGAGCCGGCAGTGAAGTGGGGCTCCTTGCTGGCTCGGCCTGTGCCGCTGAGCACGTGTCCTTGGCCGTGTGGACACCAGAGGGCGGCAGAGCCCCACCCAGGCGCCTGGGGGCCTCCCCCGTGGGGCCTGAGAAGGGGGCCCTGCCTGGCTTCCTGCGGGTCCAGTGTTCTGAGCGCCCCACACTGGCTCCCCTGCCCCCCACGCCAGGCCTCAGTGCGGGTCTCCAGGCCCTGAGCCCCGGCCCAGCTCAGTGTGAGGGCCGAGCGGGCTCCCGTCCCCAGAGGCACTGGCCGCTGGACAGACACGTGGGCGAGTCCCTCACCCGCCTCGGCAGGCACAGCCCCGCGCCCCGCTGTCCCGGCCCCTCATGGGCCTCCTCAGGGCTCACCCCTGAGTTCCAGGGGTCAGCCTGCGTTCCAGGCCCAGCCCGAGCCCCAGGGCCCAGAGCGACTGCTCGTCGCTGGGAGGGCTGGTCAGTGACAACCCCCAGCGTCCACGTGTCCCTGCGCCAGAGGCCCCCAGCATCCCCGAGCCCCCAGTGTCCCCGTCCCAGCCCACTGAGGCGCAGCCTGCACACCCCCGCGGGGCCGTGTCTAAAGCTGCCAGTACTCGGAGAGCTTGTCCGTCGCGCACAGGAACCCCCGGAGTCTGTGCGGGGACGTCGCTGGGTTTTCCTGCCTCTCCTTCGTGCTGAGGGGACGCGGGTCTCCACGTGCGCACCCCGGGCTCCACGCCACACCGACCTGCGGGGGGGGGGGCGCCTTCCCTAGACGAAGCCCAGGGCCCCGCGCAGAGCCCGCCCGGGACACCCCCCACGCCCCCGCCGTCCCCAGGTCACGATGGGGCCGTGAGCGGCCTGAGCTGGAGCCACGACGGCAGGTGGCTGCTGTCCACCTCCCGCGACAGGACGCTGCGGCTGTGGTCGGCGCGCAGGACGGAGCTCGCCTTGGTCCTGGTAAGGCCGCGTGTCCACGGCCCCGCTGTGCCCGCGGAGGGCCAGGTGGTCTTGGGGGCAGTCAGGGCCGGGGGCGGTTGGGGCCGGGGCTGGGCCCGGGAGGTCAGGGCCGAGCCCCCGCCGGGGGCTGTGCGGGGCGAGGTCAGAGCGGGCGTCCCGGGGGAGCCTCCACACTGGGAGTTTGATCCACCCCCGCGCCCCCGTGGATGCTCCTCGCAGCCTTTGGTTTTCTTTCATTTTTAAGTTTTCCAACAACCAGGACTCAGAGTTTGCATCCGGGTCAGATCCGCACTGTCCGAGAGACGGGAGGGGTGGCGGACGTGGGGGGCCGCTCTCTGGCTGGCGCACAGCGTGTCCACACCCCGAGTGGACACACGCCCTGGGCATGGGCGAGGCCGACCGTGTCTCTCTGGCGGCCCCAGGGTGAAGGCTTGTTCCCCGCGCCCCCGGGGGCTGCCCAGTTCTACTACATGGACGCCTTCATCCTGCTGTCCTCCGGCCCCGAGCTCCAGCTCCTCCAGCACCGCGTGGAGCCCGGCAAGGGCGAGCTGAGGCGGTACGTGGCCGGCAGGCCGAGCGCGGCTCCTCTCTCTGGGCTGCTGCGAGCTGAGGCTGGGGCTGTGGCCACCGGTGGGCGTCGCCCCCTGACCCGAGGGTCGTCGGGGACATGTGGCCCTACTTTCTGCGGGGGGAGCTGGCATCTCTGAGGGGGTCCGGTGAGCCACTCTTGCCATCAGACGGGGTCTCCTCGTGGTGTGGACACTTCTGGCGTCCGGTCCTTCAACACTGGCCACACTGGCCGCGGGCCAGACGCCAGGCCTGTTGTGTCCTCAGGCACAAGCAGAGGAGCCGCTGCCGGCGCGTGTTCCGGCTCCCGCTGTCGGCCGAGATCACCAGCCTGGCGGCCGTCAACGACTTCTACTCCCGTATCCTTCCTCGCGCGCCCCTCGGGCCCCAGAGCGGCCCCGCTGGTCACCGCGGTCGGGCGCCCTGCGCGGGGGGCGGAGCAGGCCGGACCCCAGCCTCGCGCCGACGCTCCCTCCCAGCCGGAAGGCCTTGGGCGCCTCTTCCCGGGAGCGAATCTTTCAGGGCCAGGAGGCGCCTCCGTAAACTTGTGCTTTAGTCAAAGCTCTCGTGACCACCGAAGGGCTCGTAGAAGTGCCCAAAGAGCTGACGCGAGGAGCTGGGAGGTGCCAGCCTGTTCTGGGGTGGGGTCTGCCGGCGCTCCCCAGGCTGAGCCTCCTTAGGCCGCAGCTCGTGGGCTGTCCTCTCCCCGCTGCCCGCCCGCCCCTGACCTGGGCATTCCCGCCTCGAGCCTTCTCACCTGCATGAGGAGCTCCTGGCCTCCCCCAAATCTGCGCCGCCTGTGGGCTGGGGCGGGGCGGGGCGTCTCCCGCTGCGGTGTGGACAGGGAACGCTGTCCTCTCCCTAACGAGCCCCAGACGTGGTGCTGACCGCCGGCAGGAACAGGACCCTGGAGGTGGTGGACCTGGCCGCGGGCCGCAGCGCCGCGGTCATCGCCGAGGCCCACTCGCGGCCGGTGCACCAGATCTGTCAGAACCGGGTGAGTGTCCGCCGGGGAGGCCGGGCCAGCGAGCCCGCCCGCCGGCCGCCCAGTCCAGGGTGACCTTGCGTCGGCCCCCCTGGGAGGCCGAGTCTGGACGGCGACCGCAGACGCCCCGTGTCGCGCGAGGGCTGGTGTCGTGCCTGCGCCTCTGGTGACTTCCTGGGCCTGTTGTCGGCGGGCTGGGGGGCATCGGGGCGGGGGGCGGCAGCCTCTGCCGGGGCTCGCCCCGCGGGAGCTGGGCCTGTCTGCGGGGCGAAGCCTCCCCGAGAGCCAGCACGGCCCGCTCCGCCGCCCCCAGGGCTCGGCCTTCACCAGCCAGCAGGCCCAGGCCTACAACCTCTTCGCCACGGCCGCCGTGGGGGACGCGGTGCGGCTGTGGGACCTGAGGACCCTGAGGTAGGCCCCCCGCCGCCGGCGCCCGCGGGGCCAAGCGAGGACACCACGTGTCCCAGGGTCAGGGGGCCGGGGGGCTGGGGCTGGGGGCCGGGCCAGGGGGGGCAGGTGAGGGTCGGCCCGGGGGTGACGGGTGCTGCCCCCCGCGAGGGGACGCGGCACCCCAGGTGGACTGGCCAGGGGCCCCAGTGGGGACCCGCAGCTCTGCAAGGAGGCCCGGGTGGGCCGGGCGTGGCCTGAGATGCACCCCGGCCCCACAGGCCCCACCCTCTTGGCCCCGCCCCTCCAGGCCCCGCCCCACCACTCCAGGCCCCGCCCACCCACCCCGGCCCCGCCCCGCCCGCCCCGCCGGGTCCGCCCCCTGGGCCCGCCCACCCCGGCCCCGGCCCCGGCCCCGCCCCGCCCGCCCCGCCCGGCCCACCCCGCCGGGTCCACCCCTGGGCCCCGCCCGCCCGCCCCGCCCGCCCCGCCGGGTCCGCCCCCTGGGCCCGCCCACCCTGGCCCCGCCCGCCCGCCCCGCCGGGTCCGCCCCCTGGGCCCGCCCACCCCGGCCCCGGCCCCGCCCACCCCGCCGGGTCCGCCCCTGGCCCCGCCCCGGGCCTGCGCCGAGCCGGGCGGGCGTCCTGGACGCGCTGCCCCTTTCTCGGAACCGGGCCGCGGGCCGGGCCGGCCCCTGCGTGGGCCGCGTCCTCCCTCCGCCGCGTGTGCGCAGGTGCGAGCGCCGCTTCGAGGCCCCCCCGAGCCGCGGCCGCCCGTGCGGACTCGCCTTCAGCCCCTGCGGACGCTACGTGGCCTGCGGCGCGGAGGACGGACACGTGGGTGCGGGGGGACACGCGGGCGCGGGGGGACACGCGGGTGCGGGGGGGACACGCGGGTGCCGGGGGGGACACGCGGGCGCGGGGGGACACGCGGGCGCGGGGGGGACACGTGGGTGCGGGGGGTAGGGGGGACACGCGGGGCGTGGAGGATGGACACGCGGGTGCGGGGGGACACGCGGGCGCGGGGGGGGGACACGCGGGCGCGGGGGGGACACGTGGGTGCGGGGGGACACGCGGGGCGTGGAGGATGGACACGCGGGTGCGGGGGGACACGCAGGCGCGGGGGGGACACGCGGGCGCGGGGGAACATGCGGGCGCGGGGGGACACGCGGGCGCGGGGGGGGACGCGCGCGGGGGGGACACGTGGGTGCGGGGGGACACGCGGGCGCGGGGGGGTGGACACGCGGGACGGGGCGCACGGGCGCGCGGGGTCAGGTGCGGGCCTGGCCGGACCCGCCAGGTCTCTCCAGCCGGGCGGCGGCCGAGCGCTCTTGGAGCCGGGTCCAGGCTGAGGCACAGCCTCCCTGGCGGTCAGGGCCTCGGGCAGGGCTTGTCCGGCGGTGCCTCGGGGCCGCGGGAGGACGGGCCGGCCCTCGCTGTCGCTGAGGAAGCCGCGAGGGGCAGGGCCACCTCCCGCGCTCGCCTCGCCGGGCTGGGCCACGCGGCTGCAGGCCGGGTCCTCCTCGGCCCCAGGCACCTGCCGCCGGGCGCGCCCCGTGTCCCGCCCCATGTCCCGCCCTGTGTCCCGCCCGCGTGTCCCGCCCCGTGTCCCGCCCCATGTCCCGCCCTGTGTCCCGCCCGCGTGTCCCGCCCCGTGTCCTGCCCCGTGTCCTCCCGAGGCCGCGTGGCCCCCGACGTCTTCCCCAGGCCCGGGGCATCGCCCTCTCGTCCTTACCTCCCGCATCCGGGGACCCCGGGCAGAGAGGGGGGCACGGGGCGGGGGAAGGAATGGGGGGGCCTGGCCCCGGAGGGGTCGCGGCCCAGTCTCTGTCGGCCGGGGGTCCCTGGAACAGACACGAAGGAACTTCTGGGGACTCAAGGACACCCCTGCGTGCGTCGCTGAGCCCCGTACTTGGCGGGCAGCTCCCCTTGCTCCCACCCAGCCCAGCCTGCTGAGGTGGCTTCGAGCTGGAGCCCGGCCTGTGGCCGCGTCGTGGCGTCTCTGCGGAAAGCAGATGCCAGCCCGGGACGGGGCGCCTGGGGGCCTGGGCAGACAGGGACTCTGTGCCGGCTCAGGGCAAGGTGCGGCCATAGACTCGGGGGGCACAGACTCGGGGGTCACAGACTCGGGGGCACAGACTTGGTGGGGGGCACAGACTCGGGGGGCACAGACTCGGCGGGGGGCACAGACTCGGGGGCACAGACTCAGTGGGGCGCACAGACTCCACGCGGGCAGCTGACAGCCCTCGCAGCGGCTTCGGGATGGAGAGGGTCAGGCCGTGCCACCGCCCGCTGCGCGCCCCCGGGTACCCGCTGCTGTTGCTTTTCTGCCTGGTGAGGAGACAGGGGCTCCCGCAGCCGGACCCTGCGCCCCCCTCCCGAGGGTGTGAGTCCAGGAGACGCCCGCCCGGGGGCCGGGAGGTGACTGCTCGCAGCGGAGGGGTGAGGAGGATGGGGTCCCCCCCCGGGCGGTCGCTGGGCCCCCCTGCTACTGCCCTGCAGGAGGGGCCGCGAGACCCTGGCGTGGTCGGGCGGGCAGCGCGGGTCTCCTCCCGCCGCTTCCTCGGGTGACCTCCTGCGCCGGGAGGTGTTGGCGCCCCAGGTGGCCACGGGGAGGCGCCCCAGGCCCTGGGACCCCCGCCACGAGGGGCTGCGGGGTGGGGCTGCCTCGGCCTTCCTGGGCCGCGGCCTGGCCGTCCCCGCCGTGTCTTGACGCCTCAGTTTCACGCGGCTTCGTCCTTCGCGGTCCCCTTTGAACAGTGTGGGGTGCGCGGCCTGCCCCCCGCTGTGGCTGGGGAGCCCGAGGGGCGCAGCCCGGCGCCCTGGGACCGGCGCTGGTCCCGGCAGCCGCCCGGGCCTCCTCGGGCGCCCCCCGTCCTCCTGCTGCGTCTTGCCGCGGGGACGGCCGACCTGCAGGCGGGCTCCGCCGGGCAGGCTCCCGTGGGCTCGGCAGCCTGAAGAGAACCTCGGCGTCCTGGGGGTCACCCCACAGCTCGGGCCACGGGCCACAGGGCCCGGCCTCGGGACGTCCTTCCCCCAGGCGCTCTCTGGCCGCTCTCGGGCTCCTCCTCGCGGCCCGCACCGCCCCCGTGTCCACCCTCGGGCCCGCCCCGCCCCCGCCCCCGCCCCCCGGAGACCAGCCTCCTCCGGAGGAGACGACGCCCGCTTTGCCTGGAGCTCGGGGCGAATCGCACGCGCGCGTGTTCTCGGTGTCTGACCCGTTCCCCGGTCCTGATCCCTGAAGACGCGCCCGCCCGCGGGCCTGCCGCAGGGCCCCTGGCGACGGGCGGCGAGAGCCTCGCGGCGTGGGCGACGGCCGAGCGGTGCCCCCAGGCTCTCCGGAGCGCGAGCCCCCGCGGCAGCGGAGGGGCGTCCCCGGCCCGGCCCGCTCGAGGCTGTCGGCGTGCCCAGCGCGGCCCTTTCCGGCCGGGAAGCCCCTTCGGGCAGCCGGACAAGGGTCCGGCCTCGGGGCCGCCGCGCACCTTGGGGCGCGCGGGCAGAGCCCTCTCCCCTGGGCCCTGGCCCGAGCCCCCTTGGGTCCCTCCTGTTCCCCGCTGGCCCCGCAGGCCTCCGGCCGCCGCGCCTGCTGCCCACCCCTGCCGTCTGCCTGCGGCCTCCGCGGCGCCGCGCCCCGGCGAGCCCTGAGCAGCCGCGGCTCCTACCGCCTCCCCCGACCAACGGCCGAGCCCGCCTGCCGGGGCTCCGGGGCCAGGCTCTGGGGACGCACACCCGCCCCCTCTGTCTTCCAGGCGTACGTGTATGAAGTGGGGTGCAGCACCTTTGCTCACAGGCTGGCGGGACACACGGACACTGTCATGGACGTGGCCTTCAGCCCCTCGGCCCCCCAGGTATGGCCCTCCTGGGGTGCCCTGGCCCCGCCCCCACCATGCAACGCCCATCAGACTCGCTGGATGAGATTTTCCGGGGTTCGTCCACCAGCCCCGTGTGCGGCCACCTGGGTCGAACCTTGGGGGGTAGAAACGTGACTGTTTGGGGGCCTGTTCTGGCTTCAGGGATGCCCGGCGCACTGCCCACGCCTCTCCAGCAGGTTGGGGCGCAGCCTGCACCCCTCCCCGTCCTCACCTGTGCTCACCTGCCGCCTGGTGGACGCGGCCTGGAGGGGCGGCGCCCCTTTCCCTGAGCTCCCTGGTCAGCCCTGGCGGCCTCCCGGGGGCGCCCAGTGTGACCGCTGCCTTCACCGGGGGCCCACGTCGGCCACTTTCTCCATCTGTGTCCTTCAGGCCTGTGGTGACTAGAGACCCTTCCAGACTCTTGCGCGCGCATCTCGGCTGGGGGTCGTGATCCAATTTACAGCCTCTCCTCCTGTGTCCGAGGCCGAGGGCCACTGGGGATCTCCCGGGGTCCTGTTTCAGCCTGGACGTCCCCTTGAGACATGGAGCTGCTCAGCGAGGCCTCGGGAGCAGGGAGCTGTGGGGACCCCGTAGCAGCCGCACTCCCGGGTGTGTCCGAGGGCCTTCGGGAGGGAAGAGCCGGCGACTGACTGGGCGGGGCGGCCATTCCCCTGCTGGCCTCCAGCCGGCCTTGTCCTTCGAGACCCACCTGTCCGTCTCCGGGGCGTGTGGTCCCCCCAGCTCTGGCCTCTGTGTCCAGTGCCCCCGGTTGTGCTGAGTCCACTTAATGTGCCCGAGCCCTGGGCCCCAGCGGCTAGCCCTGTGCTCAGCTCCGCCGGTCAGGGGCAGGTCACTGCTCAGGATTCCTGGTTTCCTTAATCAGTGGCAAAAAGGACGTGTTTCCTCCGTCCACCCGACACGGGGTCACATCGGTGGACACGCCCGCGGAGGAAACCCTGGAGCTCCAGCTCTCAGAGGCGACCGGCTGGGCCAAGGGCAGCTGTGGGGTGGCCGCCGGGGAGCCGCCCTCCAAGTTAGGTCTATTGGGGGAGCAAGAACAGATCCAGGTCCGCGGGCCCCACAGAGCAGGGGGGCAGGAGCACCCACCGGGGGGCGGGGCCGGAGTCCACCCTGGAGGTGCAGAGTGGGCGCGGGCTTGGAGCCAGGGAGGGAGCGGGCGTGGCGGGCCGTCCGCGGTGGGCAGCAGCTGCCACCTGCCCTCCCGGGGACCCCTGTGAGCCGCTCTCTGCGCCCTCACTGTCCCGGGCTTATTTCCAGAAGTGTGATCGCTGAGTCAGAATCCTCACTCAGCCCGTTTTTGGTAAATGCCAGCTTTTTTCCGACAAAAGCGGAGCCCGTGCGCGGGGTTGGGCGCGGCCGGGCCTGGCCTGCGCGCTGGCCCTGTCCTGGGACTCCCGCCGGGCCGGGCTGAGCCGGAGGGAGCCGGGTCTCGGTGCCTGGGGTGCTGGTGGTGGATCGTCTATTAACGCCCTGAATCGGGCATTTGTTGGGGCTCCTCGCTTTCCCTTCAGCGGCAGCCCCTCCCCGTGTCGGTCCCGCCGCCGCGTGTGGCTTCTACAGGGTGGTCCTGAGACCCGCTTCTGTCACAGACGTAGGCGAGTCCCCAGGAGTGTCCCCAGCGTCATCCACGTTTGCCAATGCTGCCCCTCGCCTCGCCGGCGCCCGGGGATGCGCATTTTACTTAAAATGTCTCCGTGGGCCGTGCACGCGCGTGGCGTTAGGTGTGGCGTTGCTGCCGCCAGGGCCAGGCCCAGCGTCCCGTCCCACCAGGACGGACGCCTCCCCGCAGACGTCTTCCCCTGGGGCGTCTCCCTGACTTCTGCCCGGCGCTGGGCTCTCGCTCGGCCTCCGCCGGGGTGCTCCGTGGGTTCCATGGCTCGAGCCACGCGCATCTTTCGTGGACTGACTCCTGGGTGCTTTGCTCTTTGGGGGGCCGGTCACTCGAATGGCCTTCCTGATTGCAAGCACCTGCTGGTGCCAGGTGGCAGCTGCCGCGCCCTCCGGCCTGGCCGAGCGGGTCGCCAGCTGGCGGTCCTCTGCGTGCAGTCCTGGGCTCAGTGCGCAGGTCACCCCACAGCAAGTAGCTTGATCTCCTTGCGGCCCGAGGCGCCCTGTCTCGTCTGTTACCGCGGCAGGAACCCCAGGCCCACGCGGTCCAGACAGCACGAGCCGCCCCTTGAGCCCGGGGAGCGCCCGCTGTGCCATCAGGGCGTCCGTCAGCCGCGGGTTCTCTGCCGTGTCTGGCCGTGGAAGCGGGGTGCACTGTGGTCTCGGGCGGCGCCGCCGTCCCCTTAGCTTCTCCGTACCCCTTGTTGTCCGGGCCGCGTGGCCGAGCGCCGTCCTGGCCACCCCTTCGCGTTTCATCTGCCTTTTGTGGCTTCAGGTCTTACATTCGGGTTTTTACTCCATTTTGGGCAAATTTGATTTTCTTCCTCCGGCGGGAGATGTTTTTCACCGTGACGCCCCCGGTGGTCTCGGGACGAGGGTGGTGTCGGCCTCACCGGGTGCGCTCGGCGGCACCTCGCCAGGTGCGCTCTGCTTTCCCAGCCCCGGGGACCCCGCCGTCCCTCGGGGGGCTCTCGCGGCTTCAGGTCCTTTCTCAGAATCCATCTGGTCGGGTTTTCTGTCCTCCGCCTGCTGTGGGGTGTTGTCCGTGTCCGAGTCTGCCCATTTCTTCCGACTGTCCAGTCCGTGGCCCGCAGTGCTGTCCCCCTGCGCGTCCGTGCGGTGCTGCTGCGGCTTCTCCTTCACGTCTCGTTTTGTTTTCCCTCCTCGTCGAGAGCCTGCTTCAGGCTTGTGTGTTCTGTTCATGTTTTTAAAATACTGGCTTATTGATTTTTAAATTTTATTTCTTCTCTAATAATTACTCCTCCGCTTGGGCTGACTCTCAGCTGCTTCCCCTCCTTCTGGCTCCCTTTGGGGCCGCCTGGGACTTGTGCTCGCTGGTCACTTCTTTCCCGGGCGTGTGGCCGGTGCTGCTCTCAGCTGCCTCTGAGCTCCTCTTCCCGCTGCGCCCGAGTCCGACAACCCACGTCTCCGCTTCCGCTCACTGTCCAGCCTCCTTCATCTCCCTCCCGACTCACGGTGGTTCAGGTGCGCGTCGGGTGCTTTCCGTACATTTGCGGGGAAAACCCTTTTCTCCCGGCTGATTTCTAGCGCCAAAGAGACGCCTCGCGTGATGTCATTTTTCATACCTTTACTGAGACTTGTTTTGTCCCCAACGCGTTTGTTCTTGAGAACGTTCTGTGACCTCCCGGGCCGGCCGTGTGTTCTGCTGCCTGCGGCGGACGCCGCGTCGCTGCAGCTCGCCGCCTCCTTCCCGTCTGTCTGCTGGCCTGTCCGTCGCTGCCGACGGGGTGCTGGTGCCCCCATTATTGTGTTGCCGTCGGCGTCTCCCCGCAGGGCCCTGGGTCTGACGTGTGGACGCCGCGATGCCCGCTGTGGCTGTGTCAGGTGCACGCAGCCCTTCCCGGGCCTTTGCCTCCCGCTGTCCGTCCCGAGGGACGTCTGTTTATCCACCTGCTGCTTCCCGCGTTCAGAATTTTCCTCGACTCTGAGCACCGGTTTCCTCCCCTTGCCGTCAGCCTGTTTGTCTTCGCAGCGCGAGCGGCGCTTGGAGCCGTGGGCATTGGGTTCGGGCTTTGAAACGCTCACGCCAGCCGGCCCTGGGGGCTGCGAGTTTGCCGCTTGTGGAAAGGCCACAGTTGGCGCCCGAGGGTGTCGTCGCGGTGGGCGGTTTTCCTCGAGGCCGCTCGCTGGGTGTTCCTCGGGAGGCCGGTCTTGTTCGTGATTATTCAAAGCTTCTGTTTCTCCCTCTGGCTCCTCTTGTTTCCGAGTGCGTTTCTTCGTCCCCCCGAGCTTTGGCGCCGCCCTTTGATGAGCTTTTGTGCGTGGCTGTGCCTTGCTCCTCGGAGTGTGCTTCCGCCTCCCGGCGTCTTCCACGCGGGCCTTCTGGATTTTCTGTCTGACCGGGAGGCTCGCCGGCCAGGTCTGTGAGGTCGAGTCCTGGAGCCTTTCTCTTCCCGAGGGCTCATCTCCTCCGAAGGTCCCCCCTCGGCGCGCGTGGGCCGGTCCCCCGTTCTGCGCCCGTGAGTCCCGAGGGCCTGGGTTTCTCTTCGGCGGCCGCCGGGACTTGAACCGCTGATGGTTCCCTTCGCCGGCAGGTGGCGCCGCGGCCCCGCGCCGTCCGCGTCCTCCCGGCGCCTGTGGCTCCCGCGGGCCCAGGCCCGCGCTGCAGTGGCTGCGGGGAGGGCGGGCGGGACGCGGGGTCAGCGCTGTCAGAGCCCCCGCGGGGTCCCGGGTGCGAGTGCGGGCCGGGCGGCGGCCGCCGGGCCGGGCGGCGCGGGTGGGTGGTCCGGGCAGCCGTGTCCTGTCTCGCCAGCCCCGCGCGCCGTCCCGGGCCCTCCCGCCCGCCTTCCCCCAGCCACCGGCGCGCGCCTGCTGCTGCTGCTGCTGCTGCCCCAGCCCGGCTCCCGGAGCCAGGCTTGCTCCCCGCGGGGCCGAGTCCCCTGCGCGTGGCCCGGCCTGCTCGTCCAGCCCCGCGGACCTGGTTCCCTGGCTCTGCGCGGCGGCGGGGCGCGGCGGGGGGGGCCGGTCCCCAGCGAAGGGACAGCGGCTCCGGGCCGCGGGGGAGCCCGGGCCTGCGGGACCGCGGCAGAGGCTGAGGCAGGAGCGCGTCTGGGGCACCGAGGCGCCCGCACCTCCGCGTCTCCTCCCTGCGCCGTCCGCTCTCCCGCGAGCTCGCCAGTGAGGAGCGGTGGCCGCGGGGGGCCGGGCAGCGGGCGCGTGGGCGCCTGGACGCGCCTGCTGCGGCCAGAGGTGCTTCTGTGCCGGCCGGGAGAGGCTCGCAGCCCGCGACGCGCGCGCTCACCGCCTCCCCGTGCAGACCGGGCCGCCGCGGGGCAGGGCCAGGGCCCAGGGACGAAGGCACCGCCGGGGGGCCCCGCGCGGCAGAGGCCGCAGCGCCTGCGCTCGGGCAGGACACCCGCGGAGACGCCGCCTCCCCCGGGACGGTCCCCAGCCGAGGCCGCGCTGACCCCTCGTGCCCAGGACGCGTCAGGCCCCGCACGGCCACTTTCCTCCGCGGGAGACATTCTGGGATTCTGTGGCAGCAGCAGGCGGAGCTTCCGCTGGGGAAACAAGTGCTTCTCCCCGGCCGGTGTCCTCCCGGCAGCGTGTGTGGGGTGTGTGTGGTGTGTGTGTGGGTGTGTGTGGTGTGTGTGGTGTGTGTGTGGGGTGTGTGTGGGGTGTGTGTGGGGTGTGTGTGTGGTGTGTGGTGTGTGTGTGGGGTGTGTGTGGGGTGTGTGTGGTGTGTGTGTGTGTGTGGTGTGTGGTGTGTGTGTGGTGTGTGTGTGTGTGTGGGGTGTGTGGTGTGTGTGTGTGGTGTGGGTGTGTGTGTGTGTGTGGGGTGTGTGTGTGTGTGGTGTGTGTGGTGTGGGTGTGTGGGGTGTGTGGGGTGTGTGGTGTGTGTGTGGTGTGTGGTGTGTGGTGTGTGTGTGGTGTGTGTGTGTGTGTGTGGGGTGTGTGTGGTGTGTGTATGGTGTGTGTGGTGTGTGTGGTGTGTGTGTGGTGTGTGTGGTGTGTGTGGTGTGTGGTGTGTGTGGTGTCTGTGGAGACTGGTGGGGGGGCCGGCAGCTTCCCCAGGGCCCCCACGCTGCCGGGCTTGGGCCTGACCCCGTGTGTCTGAGGTTCCGGCCCGTCCTCGCCTCCGGGGACCCGGGTCGCTCGCTGTCACTGGGTCCCCAGTGGCATCCAGGGTGACACGTGGCCGGGCCGGGCTGGGGGTGCCAGGGCCGGTGGGTCGGGGTCCGCGGCCGGGGAGGAGGGCCGGCCCGTGAGGACGGCTCTGAGGGCGCCCGGCCGCGGGGGAGGGTCAGGGCCGGGCGCCCTCCCCTTGGCGGGGCCGGGGCGCAGGGGCCTCTCTGTCCCGCAGCTGGTCACCGCCACCCTGGACGGGATGCTGCAGCTCTTCACCACCGAGTGACCACGGCCCCGCCCGGGCTGCTCGGCCGTCAGCGCTTTCCCGTGGACACTCTGGCGGCCGCCGCCTCGGAAGCCCCTCCACACGCACCCCTGCCCGGTCGGCCGCGGCTCAGCATGGCGAGGACTCGGCGCTTCTGGAACGTTCCTCCTCGGCCCTCGGGCTAGAGATGCAGACGGCGTGGGGTGCCAGCCCCTTGGGGCATCGGTGGCCGTGCCGCCCCTCTTTCAGGGCGCCGTCCCGCCACGCCCCTGTGGCAGGTGAGCGCCCGCTGCGGCCCCTCCCTCGCCCTTGGCCTTCGGGGACGAGAGGAGGACAGGCCAGGGCGGCCCCGCCACTCCTGCTGGCCCGGCTCCCGCCCGCCCCGGCCCTGTGCTGTCCCCCTCCCCACCCCGGCCCCGGCTGCTGGGCCCGGGCAGCCCGCTGGTGCCACGGAGGACGCCGGGCCGGACCGAGAGGCCCAGTCCCCGCGCTCGCCTGGCCCGCTCGGGGCGCCCCGGAAGTCGCTGGCCAGAGGCTCGTCTCCTGCAAAGCCGTCGTGGGCCCGGCTGGCAAGTCCCTGCTGCTCCCTGGGCGCCGCCGGCCACGTAAGCAGGCCACGCGGGCCACGCCTCGGGCTCCCGCTCTGACTCCAGCCTCGTGGGCGCCAACGGCCACGGCCCGAGGCAGTCAGCGGCGCGGGCAGCTCCTGGGCAAATAAAGTGATTCCTTGAAAGGCCGAGAGGCGGGTCGACGTCAGGGGCGTCGCTGCTGGTCCCACGCGCCGAGTGGCAGCTGCCGGTGCCGCCTCAGAGTTGGCTGCTCGCCCGCTGGGTCGCCAGTTGGGGTCGCCTCACCGGTCGGGATCCCCCGCTGGGGTCACGGGTTGGGTCAGTAGTCGGGGTCACGGGTCGGTGTCGCCCGGGGGGCCCTGGGCCGGGACTTCCCTGAGCAGCGGCTCCAAGTGTCTGGGAACCAGTTGCGATAGAGCGGAGACACCGACCCTGGCAGGGCTTGGGCCGCGGTGTTTGGCTCGACGGGGGTGTGGGGGTGTGGGGGGTGCGGGGGGGTGGCCCAGGGCCCTGGCGTTGGGGTCGGGGTCAGGGCGGCATGGGGCGCCCAGCTGGGCTCAGACGGCAGAGGCCGTGGCTTCTTTCCTGGCTCCGGCTTCTAATAAAAGCCCGGACCTTCCGGGCACAATGGCGGGTGCAGGCAGGAGCCGCGGCGCCCAGAGCACGGCCCCCCGCGCGGCTTCAGAGCTCGCCCCGCCGGCGCCGCGGGGTCCAGGCAGCAGAAACAGGCCCTGCTGCACCAAACCTTGCTCTGCCCAGGGGCGGGGGCCGGCCGCGTGGAGAAGGCCCGCTGGGGCGCCGCGCCCCACACCGCCGCCCGCGGGGTCCTGCCGCGCCCCGGGGCCGGTCTCCAGACAGAACCACGTTTCCCGGACAGACGGTGGCGGCTTTCTCCGCGGAGGCCGCCCGTGGGGCCCGTGGGGCGCGCCGGGGTCGGGGGCGCGGGGCAGAGCCCCACAGTGTTCATCTCGTGCGCGACGCGCGTGCGGTTCTGTGCACGCAAACACGAGGTCTCACTTCTTACAACTGTTTCTGCATCGCTCTTCGTGTCCGCGCGGTGCGCGCCTCGTCGCCTCGGCGCAGACCCGTGGCGTCCCCGGCACCCGCTCGCCGGGACTGTCCCTGCGGGCCTGGGCTCGCCCCGCTTTTTAAAAAAATTTTATTTATTTTTTGAATTATTTATGCACACGAGCTGGGGTGCAGGCCAGAGATGCGGCGGTGAGAGGACTCCCCAGAGACAGAGCGGGGAGCAGAACAGGCGGATCCACTGAAACCCCTGCTGAGGGGAGCAGCGGGGGACAGGCGGGGTCTGCTGCGCCTGTGGGCAGCTCCGCGGCCGGCCGGGATGGAACCCGCGCTGCAGAGGCCGCGGGCAGCTCCACGGGCTGCGCCCCCGGGGAGGCCCGGCTCACTGCTTCTTTGTGGAGGAAAGGCCGGCCTGTGACACTGTTCGGGGGTACAGGCCCCCCTCAGTGCCCCTCGGCCCACCCTCCCGCGGCCGCCCCCCCCCCGCCTCAGCTCTTCGCGCAGGTCTCGGGGCGCTCTCTGCTTTGGTTTGTGGCTTGGTTTCCTAGACCGAGCGCGGCCAGCGGGCCCCGGTGGAGATGCTGCCCCCACGCGCCCTCCACCCGCCCGCAGCCTCGGAGCTTCGCGTGGCACATCCAGGGCAGACGCCGCGGGGCTGGGCATGGGGCCGCGCGTGGCAGCAGGGGAGGACGGCGAAGGGCCCGTGGGTGGCGCGCAGGGCTGGCCGGGGCGAGGGAGCCTGGCGGCACGGAAAGGCCACCCGCAGCAGCACACGCGGCGGAGGGACGCGAGGTGCCAGGTGTCCCCGCGACGTGCTGACGGAGAACAGCGCCCCCTCCGGCCCCCCCGCGGGCGCCAGACCCGACGGGAACAGCCGCATCGTTGGCCCAGGCCCAGCCCGCCAAGAAATGGGGGTCCGTGTGGACACGGAAGACAAATTTCCAGAGTATTCTCCCTGACCAGGATCCTGGAGCCGCGAATTTGAGCCGTCAGACAGGACGGGGGTGGAGCCTCCGCGGGGCTGACGACGGGGCGGGCGGGGGAGGCTGGCCCTCCAGACGCAGCTGTCGGGGGTCACCGAAATGGGCGTCCAAGTCCATTCTTGGCCACGACTGGGCAGCTGACAGCTTTGTCCTCCTATTTTAGACCCCCTGAACTTACACGGACGCTTGAATGAAAACCCCCGGGTGCTGAGATCCGCTAGAAATCAGCCCATGGCCTCGAAACGCGGAAGAGTTGACCAAAAACAACTCGAGTGCCGCAGCCACCCCAACAGGGCGCTGGGCGTGTGCGGTCGCACTCTCGGGACACGCTGTGCCAACCGCGCGCGTCCCAGGATCCAGACGAGGCGACAAGCACCGTATCCAGAGGGGAGACTGCTCTCGGGGAGCACTCGAGCCCCCCCGGGATCTGCGTGAATGAGAAGACTCTGAACCAGCGTGAGGTTTGGGCTTTTTCTTGAGCGAAACCTGCTTCCTGCACATGCTACAAGCCCACGCGGCCCCCACCCTGCGCCTGGAGGCCGACGGTCCGGTTCGGGGGGGACACCCCGCTCAGCCCAGGGCAGGAAGGACGGCCCCCCAGGCACGGGCTAGGGACGGCCGAGGGCGCCGCCAGCCCTGAAAGAAAAGGGGAGTCAGGACCGGCTGCCGAGCTGAGGGAGGGGCGCCCCTTTCCACAGGCCCCGGGGCTGCGCTCCGGTGCCACGGGCTCAGCCAGGCTCGGTGGGTGCCTGAGGTGCCTGGGTGGGGGTGACAGGCGGGCGCATGGACGTGTGGGCGGACTCCCGCCACCCCAGCCCTCCGTGCCGCTGTCTGCTGCCGGGAGGGACAGGCATGGGGGCACCTCTCGGCGCGGCCCCCGCCAAGGCCTGAGTCCCTGAGGTCCAGCTCAGGCCTCCTTGCGGGGCCTCCTCCTGTGGCCTCCGCCTGGGGGCAGCAGTGGGTGGACGGTCTTTCCTGCAGGTGGTGGACGGTGCTGAGGACTGGCCAGGAGACCAGAGATTTGGCCCCGCGGTCTTGCAGGCTGAGCAGGGGGTCTGCCCTATGGCCGCCCACTCCCACCCCACTCGCCCCTCGGTCCCCGACTCCGGGGCAGGAAAGAGGCTCCTGTGCGGCCCCGGACGGTGCCTCCACTGCCGGGCTCCATCATCCAGGGTGGCGCCCACCGGGCAGGACCCAGGCAGGGGCTGGGATGCTCCCAGGAGGCCCAGCAGGCGCAGCCTTGGCGCCCTGGTGCCGCAGTCCGAGCTCGCAGAAGGGGGTGTTGGAGTCATGTGACCGGGTGCCCCTGAGGCGCCGGCGGGGCAGGCTGAGGGGGTCGGTGGCCCCCAGGGGCCGTGAGCTGCGGGCCCAGGATGCGCCCGTGGCCCAGGCCGGGGTGGGGGGCTCCTACCCAGGCGCCTGGTGGCCCCCCATTCCGCCCACAGCGCTGCCTGCCACGTGCTGCACGGAGATGTGGGGGCTGTTGGGGGGCCTGAGTCTGCGTCCGCGTCGGCCTTGGCAGCGTCAGCACTGGCGTCGGCGTCACTGTTGGCAGCGTTGGAGGCCTCGGGCCGTGGAGGCCGCGGGGGTGGCCGGGCCGGCATGGACGTTCCGGTGCCCGTCGTCCCTCAGTGGGGCTCAGAGCCCGCGCCTGCAAGCCCCTGCCTGCTGTCCTGACACGGGGCACCCCTTACCCCGCTCCGGGGGTACTCGCGTCATCTGTCCATCTTTCTCTGAAAAACTGGGAAAAACCCACAAAACCGGGTCTTCTCTGGGCCTGTGAGAGGCGCTGGGTGTCGGCTGGACGGAGTCTTGGCGCGTCCCGGGTGTCATTCTGAGAGGCGCTGTCGTGTGGGCGTCCCCGCCGGGCAGCCCTGGGCTCCCAGGGGCTGTGGGGGACGCGCGAGGGACCAGGCTCGTCCTTGGCTGACTCTCGGGGGCCGGGGAAGGCGGTTCCGGGCAGGGCCACCTGCCCAGCTGCGCGCGACCCCAGGGCACGGCCGGCCTTGCCGGGTCTCTGAGCAGCGGGGCCCAGACGCCTTCCAGCGTCCCCGGAGCCCACGCGGTGCCGGCCACGCGGCCCCGGCCCGTGCTGCCCAGGCGGCTGAGACGGCAGCTGGGGTGGCCGCGTGGCGTGGGGCTGGCCGCGCGCCAGGGACTCGGCGCGTGTGGCATTTACAGCCTCTGCTGTTCCAGAGCCGGGCGCGGCGCTCACCGCCCTTGGGATGTGGATTTCCAGAAGCTCGTTTAAGACTCTGCAGGGGAATCCGGGTGTGTGGGTACAGGGTTTTTGGCCTGCACCCCCAAAAGACATTTGCTCCGGCACATACAGCTGGTGCTCGGGCCTGCCCCTCCCCCTCTGCCCTGCCTGGTGTCCCGGCTCCCAGGAAGACCCCCCTGCGGGCACCGGGCGCTCAGTGGAGGGGGACGAGGTGCCTCTGGGTCTCCTGTTACTCCTCGTT